CCTAACCTAATCTAACTTACCCTACCCTACCCTAACCCCCGCCACTTAGCGCTAAGGTGTTTAATCTTCAGGTGAAACACGCTGTGAAGTTTAATCTTCATGTGATCCGTTTCTTTAAATCAGCCAGTTTTTGTCGCCGTCTTATAAAGATTTGCTGTATATGTATTGTTATTTGTTTATAGTAAAAAAACATTACAAAACATTGAGACAAACTCCTGTCATTATAAATCTCAGGAAGAAAACTCACTCTAAGCCACCAACCAGACAGCAGCTGATTCCCACTACTGCTTGTTGAGTAAGACAAGTTTTGCTACGACTCCTCCACTCACACAACAGTGTCTTGAGGGAGTCACTGTTGACGGCCAAATATTACAACGTTTAAAAGTCAATGTCATCAAGTTATACCTAAGAAACTAAGGGATTTCTTATTTTAAGCAGCGTTTACTGTTTACACATTTTTCATGAGTAAACATTTTAGGTTCGCTTGTTTGAGTAGGCAAGTTATCGCAAGTAGCTCGAGTTTTTCATTAAAAAAAAATTATTCCTCCTGTAACCAAAAAGAACTACTTTTAGTGCAGAAAACAAAATCTAGCAAAAGTATTCGTGGACGTGGCAGAATACTTTACAGTTCAGTAGATGTAGAACAGAACTTGCAAGACAAACATAAGACTTAACACTATTTCTTGTGGAGTGTCTCTGGATCGAGGCACTTAAGAACACCTGATATATCCTGGATACCTAACCTGTATATAAGATGAAACCGGACGTGAAAAATAAAACTTTAAAACAAGCTGATACTCTATAGCGATATATTGTATATACTTCAGGCGGAGGGGAACCATATTTCAGTATCTGTATTACGTCTCTTATTCTCTAACCACTCACTAGTCGTTGATGTTGACGTTATAATGTTATTACTGGGCTTCAACAACTAAGGCCTTTCAGTGGGTAATAAGGTTAGGCATTACACTAGTCCATAAAAAAATGAATAATTATGAAAGATAGAACTCTCTGTTTCACTACTCAGAGAATTAACAAGTATATGCCACCCTTGTCCCCTGGTCCTAGATCAACTAATTATCCAACTACCGGCCAATCAAATGCGCATTCTGCTCCTCATTAAGGCTCCCACACTGTCTTTCTCCCTTTGCCAAACTCCTCCCTCTATCCTATGTCTACATCCAGCAGCAGCAGTGTCGGAGAGAAGGGGAGAAAGGCTGAAACCGCTGAGTGGACAAACAGTATGAGTAGTTTTGTCTCCTTTGTGGTGGTGAGATAAAGGTTAGAACCAAGAGTGATGATGGTGAGTGCAGGGGAAGACGCACACACACATTGTATCCTGTAAACACTATATATAGCTTTGAGTAATGACAGTTTCTTTCTCGGCCTGTAATGGTAAGGAGAGTAAAAAGAAGAATATCATGGGAGAAATTGAAAAAAAAAAAAAACGTAAAGGGAGAGGGGAAGAGAGTTGTGTTCATAACCTGTTCAAATTTCGGTATCAATAACAGGAAAAAAATATAGAAATCTAAACTATAGTCTTCACTTGTAGAGTAAAGTGATCTAAATGTCGTGTATCCTTTTATTCAAGCTTTACAAGGGTTACAAGCCAACAATAATCGATAACAATTATTATCTTTTATCCTACTGTTCCTTTATTTCGGATTTAATTCTACACAACGAGACATTTTCACAATCCCTTTTATTATTTGCTGAACAGATTTATAAAGTTACTCGGTTGTGTTGATATTGCACAAGTCATCAGGCAACAAGCGATGAAGGAGACATATTGGAAACAGCTTGTATATTCTCTTGTGTTTCTAGGTCCTTCAGCCTTCCCTAATCACATCTAGCCTGAACCTTCTTGTGTGTCGTAACATATATGCATTTCAGGGGTCTTAAATGGTCTTTGTCCTTTGAAATGATGGTGCTTATGATATTTAATGTAAATGTAAAATGTCTTATGTAAAATTAACCTCGTATGAGAATATCTGAGAAGCCAGCTGTGGTGTTGTGTGTGTGTGTGTGTGTGTTGTGTGTGTGTGTGTGTGTGTGTGTGTGTGTGTCTTTACCTCCAACAACTGACTACAAAGTAAACCAGATGTGTCATGTATAACCAATAATCTTTAAGAAGAGTATTTAATATGTAAAGCGTCTCTCATCTCTGATCAGGCCACTCCCTACCACAGTTCATTCTGCCTTGTATAGCGGACCTTTGATGAATTTACCATCGCCATTCCAATTATCTCCGGTAGTGTGTGACGCTATTAACGGCACTCATACAGCAGTGTACTTCATCCGCCTTGATGGCACTCATCTTGGTTTTACTTTCTTGACTTCACCCCTTCTTAATGTTACATCTGATCAACTTTATTCTTGAGAATGTTAAACAAATATAACTGTGAATTAAGAACATTTCAGAGAGCATTACCAGAAATTTAAATTTCATGATCGACTCGTTAAATGCAAGCACAGAATGGCAGAGTAATTATTATTGTATGTTAATTAAATGAGTACCGGTGTTGACATTCACTCAGAGAACAATTTTCACTACAACAAAAGTAGAGAGACCAGCAGGAGGAGATGAAGCCCTGCTGCTGCTCTGACGGCTGTCATCAACTTCTCCCCCGCCGTGGCGCTTATCGCACGTACCCATCTAGACTCCCATTCCTAAAGTCCACGCTGGACCACGTCCGGAAATTGATCTGTAGCAGAAGTTTCAAGGCGGAAATAGAAATCTCAGTGTTGAGTTTGACGTTCAACTCTACTGAATTGAATTGTCGGAACACCTTGTAAAAGTACAGATAAAATGGCGTATGTGTGGATAGTCTATACTGAACATTTGCATCTTTACTGTAAGTGGACACAAGGGACAGCCTCAGTGAGTTAGCCAGTGCTTAAGTCGGGGCCAACTTCTCAAGGCCATTCTCTCTTATATTTGCAGTCGTGTCACGTCTCACGGATAGTGTCCTTGATGTACTCAACCAGCAAGCAGTTTTATAAGTGTTTTGTGGCCAAACAGAACACACACACACACACACACACACACACACAGAAAGGCGTAGGCACAGACCCCCTACAGTGATACACAACTGAAAACAAACAGAAGCATAAACACATACATTTCATACACACACACATACACACAAACAAACTACAACATAAACATACTGTACACCATAAACTCACAAGCAAGTAGAAGCACCGACATATTTATTTCTAGACACAACAAACAAGAACCTGACACTGAGGTTAAGCCTTGGGTGGGATTTGGTTCGCATCTCCTGTTCTTACTGTACTGTATAATTGTGTTGATTCTTTTCATATTCTCCTTCGTGTTTATGATTCATTATCGTCGTTTGTTTAATTATGCACATTATATACAGCCATTAATAACCGATATAATGACCAAATCTCTAAAACATTTAATTTGTGTTAGATTTATATCGTTTAAAATTCAGATACAGCTGGTAATTATTTTAGTCATGTGTTTACGAGATTAGTTGCTGTGTATGTATGTGTATGTGTGTGTTAGTATGTGTATGTGTGTGTTAGTATGTGTATGTGTGTGTATATATACGTCTATGCTTCCTTATGTATGTCTGTGTATGTAATGTAATGTTAGTTTTGGTATGTGTTTATTCAATATATATGTCGATGATTTTTTTTTTTTTTTGTGTACGTTATGTGTGTATTTTTTTTCGCATAATTACACATGAGTGGGTATAAGGAACTGAGATCACACACGGGAAGGTTCACCCCCCTGAAGACCTGCTAATAGAAATGAGACACAGGGGATTTAATTTTGTTTAGAAAGAGAAGGTGCAGGACTATAATTAATAGCCTGGATAATGGTTGTACGTCTGTTTTGTAAGCTCTGATAAATTGAGAGTAGTTTTTGGTTCATTGGCTGCTCCTGATTGCATTTTTTTTTTACAGCGTTTCCAATACATTTATCGGGAGGAACCAATTTTATACTGGTTCACTGGGCCTGTCGACCACCCTGGACTCTCACGCACAACGATCTTAACGACAGCCCTTTAATGCATGAATATATATTTTTTTTTTACACCACCACTACCTTGGGCTTTATCATGTATACCTGTGGGTGACGGACCTCCTACAAGACAAAAGAAACAAGAGAGATAAAAGAGACGTGCCCATTGATTCTATTGGGCACTAGGGCACTAGTCTTGATAGGCCCTAATCCAAATGGTTTAAACCTACCGTGGCCTAAACATTATGAATGCGGCCCTCTGAGGTTTAAGCTCGTCTGAACTAGAACCTAATTGTAGTGTTTAAGGTAGGATGAGACCTATTAGGAGTGGTAGGTTTTAGATACTGTATAGGTACTATTTAATCGATCACCTTAAGATTATTTCCATCAGAAGTAAGGCCGCCATTGTAGCGTGAAGTAAACAGAACGGACAGACTGTAAAATTATACCGCCAGCTGTCGCGGCGGGTCCTCCATGAAACCGCGGGAGGGTGGGGGGTGTTGTTTACATGTTAATGGTACTTCACATGCGGGACCCAATTTCTCTCCATAAGATTATTCGGTACCAAAATGGTCTCGTGAACTACTATGTAAAATTTGATATATTTGAGCATTTTTTTTCTCTCAGAAATGGTGGTAGATTTGGTGAGGATTATTTTAGGATGTCAAGTGAACCTGCTAAAAGGAATGTTATTATTATATATTATTTCTCGTTTTTTTTGTATTATCCGAATGACGTGAACATTTACGTCCTTGTTCATCCATCACACCCCTTCAGTCAGAGATCTTTCTTTAATTAAATCATGTGTAATAACTACCGCTAAGTTGAAGAATTTTAGGAAATTGTAGGAAAATTTTTATTTATTTGTTGGTTAATGTCTCTTTGTGTAGGAATTATAATATATATAATCTATGTCATCCTCCAAATAATATCTCGTAATTATTCTCACAAGATTAAATATTCCATACGCATCAATTCCTAATCTTATCTCTTTTTCTTTCAGAGGGAGAATGACCAACAGTGAGGTGAACTGGTACTGACACAACACTAACGGCGTGAGGACATTAATGACATTATCATGCAGCGGCTGTGATACTTTATGATATAATGTTAACTGAAGCCGACATAGATAAAACGAGAAAAAAGTTAAGAATTTACGATACAACATCACCAACAGACGAAAAAAATTATCTTGAGTATCGCAAGTTTAATTAAATCAGCTTAATTCAAAGTGGTTATATTATCTTATCTTAATATTAATAAGTAGTACCTTCAAGGGGCTGATTAATATGGATAGACTCTCCTTGATAGTTTAACAGTTTTCACATGACCTTCACGTTTAGAATTTTTTTTTACATATTTCCAATAAATCCGAATCCAGGACACAACTCCAAAGCAAATAATGACGAAAGAACGACTCGTATGTTTTATTCATGCGTATGTAAAAACCCTTTGTTCAGCCGTATTTAATATGAGGTGAAGGCATGGTGTCCCCAGCTACGATAAACATTAAATCTTTTAAAATTTTAGAAATACAAGGAAGAAATAGTGAAAATGGTGAAATTAGTGATGGTATATAGACTTCCGGAAAAATCTATGAAGTGGTGATAAACTTACTTCCCTCTGCGACCAGTTCTAATATGTTGAATGTAAAATGGATTATGAAAACTTATTATTTTCCTCTTACTATTGCAAATCAGATAATAAATATATAAGTCCTCTACTGGTAAAAATAAAGTGGATTTTTAACACAAAAGTTTAGAGATGAACTAATATCAACAAATATAAAGAAGGATCAAGAACATAAGACTAACATATTCACAAAACGTCTGTGAATATTCTTCTAACATTCATCAAGCTTCAACGTTGTTAAACTTCCCCCAACCTTTAACCTTCCCCTTGTCACTTGTTCAAAACTAGTGTCTACCTGTGAATTACTGTTTAGTATACATTCATTACCTGTTTGTGAATTGACGCCGTTACTCTTTAATAAACACGAGAAATTTAATTGATAAATCTTAGATATGACGTAGACACAGTTTTCAGCCCCATTCACGCCTGTTTTACCTCTCCCTCATTTCTAAGTACCTTCACTTTGTTGCCAGTCCTATAGTAGTAAGTTCTCTTTGGCCAGCCCTTACTGCAGCCCTTCCTGACCCTCAAACAACCTCGTCATGGAGCAGGTGGAGGCAGCAGGGGGCCCTGATGCCGCAGTAACACTGACCTTCATCACCGCCCTGGTTAATGCTACCATTGACCCAAGTACCTACAGTGACTACATCGAGGACTACAGCTACTCCTACAACGACACTGAAAACGCGACACAGCCAGATCTCGCCGCCAATGTGAGTGACTCCTGCTTGTTGTGTCTTGTTACCTATGCGGGATGACAAGAGCCTGTGTGTGCTGTATTGATGATATTAGTAGGCATACCCTTGCCCCCCCTTGATATAATTATACATACACTAAGAAATAAACACACTCAGTAACACACTCAAAGCGTAACCAAATACTCTCGAGTAAATTTATACATAAACGATTCACATATCACAAAAAATATAACTGTCAGGCACGTAACACGATATTAAACTTTATAAGGTACAAGAGGGTTAATTAAATCGTATTCCTCAACGGGTTAAACCATTGTTCTACGTGTGTTAAGTATTCAGGAGGAGTTCTGTTGTTAGGTCAGCCGCAATTATACGTGGGAGGGAGATATATTATACAACAACAACAAAAACACCTCTAAGATATATAAAGTGGATGATATTTCTTGTGTCAGGAGTGTAATCTTTTCCAGGCCGGGTAGTCCTGCCTTGACTCAACAATTGTCTCTGGGCGCTCGGGGGGTAGAGGGTGGGGCTGATGTATTGTCCTGGAGGGTGGGGCTGATTTACTGTCCTGGAGGGTGGGGCTGATATGCTGTCCTGGAAGGTGGGGCTGATGTACCATTCTACTAGGGAGATTGATGTAGTGTCCCCGAGGAGGGGGCTGATGTACTGTCCTGGAGGGATGGGGCTGATGTACTATCCTGGAGGAGGGGGGCTGATGTACTATCCTGGTAACGAGGTCTTCGATGTCGTAGATAGACAGGAGGCAAAATAAAAGGTTAGTATTGGTAGAAAATCCCAGCCAGTGAGGTTAAATGGCAAATTAAGACAAACGGTGGCTCTCTGTTGTTATTCCAAAGGTTGCCCACAGCCAGCAACACAGATCTATGTCCGGGAGGTAATGCCAGACAATGCACCAATAAACTCCTAATTGAGTCCCAGCCTTCAGCAAACTGTTAAGGGGCCAGCTGAACACTACACATTATTCATCTTAATTAATGTTTTGGATGACTGATATCAAGTGACTTAATATTAATCGCATAAATTAAACTCCTCTAGCTTATTACTTCAAATTTTTTTAGATAATTTTTATTGCAGTGAATATATTAAAGTTCTAGATATCACAATGCTGTATTAAAAAAAATGCCCAGTGTAACGAAAATACCCCTCCTCCCCCCTCCTACACCAGACAAAAAGACAAAAACACTCAACATGTAAATGATATACGAATGAACGAGGACCTGACATAATATTTTGGCTCGCGTCAGTGTTTTAATCTATCGTGACGTGGACATTAGTCATACAAAAGAATCATTTTATCTAGATATGGTCACGTGATGTCGTCCCAGTATTGACATCAACTTTATCATCTTTTTCTTTTTTACGTTATCATAACTCTCTCCCGTCTTTCTCCAGTATTTATGATGAAATTTGTAGTCAGAGAGAGAGAGAGAGAGAGAGAGAGAGACATTCATTTAGTCTGGCGTCATTGAGTTAAGAAAATTGACGCTTACCTTTAAGAATAATGAAAAGAAAAAAACAAACATATTTACACATCTGAACTCCTTTCTGTCATTCATTTTTTGTTTATTCTTCAAATGTGTTTATCCAATTACAACACTTATTTTACATTTTTTATATTATTAGTGAGGTATTGAATGGTAGTAGTCAGGATCCAGGTTATATTAAAGAGAGTAGAGGGGACAGAGGGAGGAGATGGATGAGAGGACATGTGGATGGTGTGGGGAGGGGGGTGAAGGTGGATAGCTGAGTGGTGGTGGTAGTGGTTTTGGCAATAATGGTCAGACGTGCGGCGTCGCTGGGCACTGGTGAACCAACCTTCACACACACACACATATATATATACACACACACACACACACACCACTTTCTGACTATATGTATAGCAGTCGATGTTGTGGGGTGATTTAGGGTGTCTGTTAGTCCACTCTCTCTCTCTCTCTCTCTCTCTCTCCCTCTGTCTCTCTCTCTCTCTCTCTCTCTCTCTCTCTCTCTCTCTCTCTCTCTCTCTCTCTCTCTCTCTTTCTTTCTCTCCCTCTCTCCTCAATTTCTCTTCATCTCTCATTTTCTCTTTCCATTCCCCTTCCCGGATCATTTAATATTTCACGGCTCCTGAGCAAACACTGACACACGCTACTGTAGCTCAACAACAACACGGAAGTACCTGGAAAGACTGCCAGTTCAGGAGATGCCAACCCTTCCTCACACATACGGATGACACCTCGATTAATAATTGATCACCTTAATAATTATTAGTATCAACACCATAAAAACCCTCATGTAAATATAGAATAAAAAAAAACACCTCTAATACTTTGGAAGTAAATTCAACAAGTAGAAGCTATTATCACTCCGCGGATCTTAACACGTTCCGTAATGATAGCGGTCTGGAGCACATTCTAAATCGACCTTAGCACGAACCTCACGTGAAAGGGGGGATCAACTACTGTGTGAATATCCGGAAACAACAGTCCTTTTTTTTCTTTGTTCCTTATTGATTGATATTACTCTTATATATACAATATTTATATCATATATCAATCGTTAGAGTGTACTGTATTTATTATATATATATATAAATATATATATATATATATATATATATATATATATATATATATATATATATATATATATATATATATATATATATATATATATATATATAAATGTATTTATAACTATTTTCAAGAGGTCCCTTCTGGGGTTACAAGGTGGAGGACTCACGGGTCAGAATCCTGGCTGACTCGACTGGATCAAACGATGTTCCTCTATGACTTTTCCCTTTAAAGTCGTGGAATTATCTTGCTTCAGCCAGCTCGAGGGAGGATTATTGATCGCTTATGAAGAATTGAGAGTTAAATTGAGGAGAGTTTCTTTGATGGTGAGAGCGGTGAAGAGGGTGGGAAGGAGAGAGGCTGGCACAGAGGCTCTACCAATACTGACACGAAAGGGCAAGACGGAGGAGGAGCCGTGTGGGTGTGGCGTTACTAGCTGGGTGTAATAGGTAATTTACTATCATTTATTCAACTATAGTTTCACCACTTACCAGCTTACTATACGTTCGGGCGGTTGGTCTGTTCTGTCACTTTGTTATGAACTTTTTTCCAATGTTAGTAAATGAGGAAAACTTTTAGCTGTTTTAGGTGATACAGGATATGTTAACAAATGTAGTTTAGTGTATTTGATGCTTGCACAAATACATACACACTCACACAAGGTCATACATAAGAGCAAGCACTCATATAAACAGAGCAATAGTCACACACACACACACACACACACACAAAATAAACCTTCCTTTGACTTTATGAAACGTTCCAATCACCGTTGAGGAATATTATTAAAACAATTTATTAAAAAAAAACAAACATCAAGCAGTACTGATGAAAAGGTATTTATCCATCATTAAAACTTCACATAAGTCCTCCAATCCCTCAGCTTTAGTAAACAAACGAACATCATCAACAGAGAGCAGCAGCTGGGATTAGTATACTGAGGAGTTGTAGTTCAGTCTTTGGTTAAATTCGCTGCCTCTGATTTCCAATAAGACAGAGAAGAGCTTTTTTAACATTAGAGAAAACGAAGCAGATAGATAGATAGATGGATAGATAGATAGATAGATAGATAGATAGATATATAGATAGATAGATAGATAGATAAATTATCACATAGACAGTGCAGGTATACAAACAATGTACAAAGACAGTGCAGGTATACCGTACAAACAATGACAAAGAGAAGTAGCATCAACCATGGATAACCCAACAAACCCCACAAGAGCTGTTGGCTGTCTGATCCTCTTGCGCATCTATCCGTGTAAAGTGGTCAGGAGATATATTATGTCCTCTGTATTATCGGATTTAGCGAGGATGTTTTTGGGGACTCTGCCTGTGTGTTTTTCACCCCACCCGTGAGAGCTGTAGCAATCCAAAACACAGAATTAATCCCAGGCAGTTAGACTAATGCATATACACTTGTTTGGTTGTGACTGTGGACGCCGAGACCAGAGACTATGACAATAAATGCTCTGTGGAATATAACCGAACTTTTAGTGAAGAGCCTGAAGTATGTAACCCATTTATGGCTTGGGGAATTAAACCAGTATTTCTATATTGGGGTGAATCTTGCTGACCGTATATATACACGTGCAAATATATGTAACTACACGTACAGTACATATTCACATACACGTAGACATAAAATAACATCACTTCCCCCCCTACTCCCACAACACACAGGGACATGAGCACCACAAATAATTATATAAAAAGGATTAATGTCTCCCACGTAAGATCGGCTCCTTCATGTCCAATCTTTCATCCAACTTAGCCGTCCAGACCAGGTACCTGCCTCGCGAGAGTAAATATTAGGATACACAACACCTCACTGGGAGACAAACGATCAATTGTTTTAAGACACTTGCCGAATCACAACAAAGTTTACCTTCTTTCAACAGACTTACGTAAAATAGGTCAGCTAGGATGATATCTGTCTGTGTTGCTCTTGATGCCCGACACTTCGCCATATGTGACACCGTAGAATGTGGGAGTTGTTAAGTCTTTAGTATAATATCCTTCACCACTATTTCTCAAGGGCAACAAAAATATTAGTACGTGCAGTGTTTCCTTGCGCTGTTCAGAACTCCGGTAAGAAATTATGGCAGAGGTATTATTGTGCAGAATTTAGTGAGTGATGTTAAGAGTTCCTAAGACCTCTGAAATATACACCAGTTTCCTGGAGCTCAAGATGGCTAGTTGAATGGGTCCCAATCTTAAGATACAATAATACTAATGGTTATGTTAGGCTAGGGTGTACTAGGCAACACCCATTTGATCTACAAGTGCTGAGAGAGATCGATAGAGAGGAGCACTCATAGCACTGCATAGCTTATATAAGTCAGAATATATTGTTTCTAATAATATAATTCTTGTTGATACAGTGCCCTTGACATTTTATAGAATCCCTTAAGTCTGCCCGATTAAACCGAGGCTTTGGTCTGGCTATCGCTTTCTTTTTAAGTTGACAATGTCTAAGACTAAGAGCTTATTTATTCACCTACTTTCTTTTTTAACACTGACTTGTAACCAAAGTACTAAGCTAGTTACTGTGAGTTTCAGGCACTTTCAACGACATATTGTTGGTGTTTTTTTTATGGTGTAAATGAGTCAGTGAAAGGCATCCTCATTCGTCAGGTTACTGAGTAAAAAACAACTAATTTTCGTGAATTCAGATTCGGGAATACTAAGAGATTTTCCCTTGGGTTGTTCCAGCATGAGGCTGTCGGTGGCGGGGTATGGGTCGAAGCTTTCAGGCCTCATGATAACCTAGAGTTAGGAAAGCCCTAAAGCAGCCCTTAAACCAGCTTTACGCGGAACTCACAAACTGCATTTAGTAAATAGGCAGCCCGCGTGCATTATGCAGAAAGCTTTTGGGTCTATGTGCGTCGTGCAGCTGGCTGTCAGGACCCAAGATACAGATGATCGACTCTGAGCACAGCCTTGGGTGCTCTTGTGGGAATGATGCCACTAATTGATATTTTCTTCGTGGATAATATTTACTGTTAATAAAAAACGAGTTTGATTTCTACAACACTGAATTGTATGGATGATAACTAATCAACAGTCTCAAGCGTAGTACTGGGGCTTTATGGAAACGATGCCATAAACTGATGCTGAGAATATTAAATTTCATGCACTACAGTGACTACACGTACTTTTAAATATCGCCATGATTGTTTTTCTAACGCAATACTTTATTCTCAATAACTGACAGCAAACTTGGGCACATTGTTGTGATCTGACGGACACATGATGATATTTTGTTTATACCAGAGAGTTTCTGTTACAAAGACAACAGTAATTTATTCTTCATGATTATTTTATGTATGAAGAATCAGGAATGTTGCATCATCACAGTTTAATGATACAACGAAATGTATACTCTTTTCTGATTTACCTCAATGAAGCCTCAAGTTTGAATGCATTCTTGGTGCACTAGTCAAGTAAGCGTGTAGCGTAGCACGAGTCTCTTCCTTGGTTATAAGATTACAGTGATACCAGAGTCTGCAGTTTGGCGTGGTAGTAATCACTGGCAGTCAATGTTCGAGAACCGGAGAGAGACTTTGGATTACCTCTACCAACTAATCGTACCAATGGTGAGTGATCTGTGAGGTAGTTCTCCATCGTCTGAATAGTTTATTAGTTGAAATGAAGTATAACAATGTGTCTTTTATAAGAAAAACACATCTCGCATTTTTTTTCTTTTTTTGCTGATCTGTTGCTCCTTCTTGTGAGCGAACACTAGGAGGGTGACAAGCTCTGCATCACGCTTAACTCTATACAGAATATCCTCCCCTCCCAACAACTTTGAGATTCAATGTTCAATGTAGTCACTAACGGGAGAAAGGCGGACTGCGTATCGTGGTCCTAATTGTTCTGGAGCGAGAGAGGCCCTTAGTTTCAACGCTTTAATCACTAACAAAGCCAGGATACTGAAATCAAATGGATCTCAGTTTCGGAGGATTAATCTGTACTGCCTTACATCAAGACTTCCTTACTGGATATGTCCCGAGGGATCTTAGCGATAGTCCATTGTAAACCTGCCGGATGATCACGGATTTATTATAGTCATGATCAACTTCCTCAACAGATCAGAAACATCAAAATTTTAGAAAAAGAAAGACCATAAACACATAAGGATTAGAGTATTCGCTGTATATATGAGAATAACGACATTAGAGCGAGAAGAATTTCTCAGTGCCACTCACAAGTTTTATATTCATTTGTTAAATGTCTTCATGAAGTGATCCGGCTCACTGTGCAAATCCTAAAGGATGACCTTAGGGAAGAAGACCAAAGGCATGACTACAAAGGTCCTCCGCACGTCAGATAGAAAATAATTTACATATTTATTGACAACAGAGAAGACGTCACTTGGTCAGTTCCTTTACTAAGAGGTCAGAGGTTAGAGTAACGAGAAGTTTTAATAATAAAAAAAAGGTGTTGCAATTCGCTATGATAGATAATTTTCTTACACAGGAGTAAAATTATCTCACACCATTTCATATTGACCATTTTTAATCTTCATATCTCAGAGAAAGTTATTCCTGATATGAACTTTCCCTACAAAAAAAAAATATACATACATATATATATATATATATATATATATATATATATATATATATATATATATATATATATATATATATATATATTGGATCGTGACTTTTCATCTCTTGGTAGGATCTTCTTTCTTCCCCGTTGACAAGTGCGATGAAGGAAATTATTGCAGTATTGGTTATATTAATCATTCAATAACTTAACTTACCTCTGTTGTTATTCTCTTGATATGCTAATTGCGTAACGATTATTAAAGGTTAGGGTGATGCCTTCTGTGAAATTATTAAACCAAGGCACTTTTTTTTTTGCAAAGGAAGGTTTTAAACTCGCCTTTCTCATCTAACTCCTGGTTACACCTTTCCCCCGAGGCGATAGGGACGCTCGCTGCCTTTAATGATGAACATACAGAGGAATTTATCATTTCTCTGACTCGGGAATTCACAGTCGATTATTTTTTTTATTTAATAGTTCTTAATCCTTCTTTACTGTTGACTGAGAGACTATGTAATGTAATGAGTAGGAGAGAAGCCATTGTATAAGGCATGATGTATAGCAGAAAGAGAAAAGGTGTGAACTATCTTGTGTCTCTAGGTGGTCTCTGGGTGCATATGATGTTATAACAAAGTTTTCATCACATTTCTTCCCCGTGACCACACACACACACACACACCCACACACACACACATCAAATTAATAAAATAACTTTACAACATGACAATGAGTTTCAGCAAAGGAAATGTACTTATAATTTAACCAGGTATGTACTGAAGGAAGGAGGGGAGTGAGAGGTGAGACGGGAGGGATGATGGAAGATAAGAAGGATGAGGAGGATAAGGGAGAATAAGGGAGAATGAGGGAGAGAGGGAGGGAGGGAGGGAGGGAAGGAGGGAGGTAAGGTAGACCATCTAATACGATTATAATTTCTTTTAAACATATTCATCAAGTTTAATGAGGCACCTTTCGGAGTTTTATCTGAAAAACACCCCAAAAAAGTTTCAATTTTTTCCTCCTGTCTAACTTCTTGAGACAGCGAATATTATTAGTGTGTGTGAGTGAATTGGTTAAAGAAGGTGGAGAGAGATTTTGTTACCACAGGGGGAGTTCATCAGACGGGTGCCTATTACCTCTCCCGTTCATGGATTCCTCAATGTAGCTGAACACGTTGACGTTATGATGTTATTAATCCGCTTCAACAATTAAGATCTTGAAGCGTGTAACTAGTCCATCAACGATTATGAGAGAGAGAGAGAGAGAGAGCACACACACACACACACACACACACACACTCACTAACACTAAGCTAAGTTACTTTGCTGTACGCACAAACACTGGCCCATGGCACCTACGTCCCTTGATGATGAAGTACTGTAGAACGCCCAGGTATATTTAGTCAGGTCATTGAATCTTACGGATATATTTAGTCAGAATATTTTGTCTTATGGATATATTTAGTCATGAAAATTTTGTCCTGAAGGCATAGTAGAAAATTATATTCTCCAGTAACCTTCAAAACTAATTAATACTAATACTAATTAATACTAATGCTACTACTACTATTAAGAAAAGCAACAATAATAAAGAATTTCACTAATGATAATAATGATAATGAAAATACATATAGGCTATGGTACTATTATTGTTAATAGTAATATAGCATTAATAACAATTATTGTAAAGTCGATCATGTAGTTACGTAAAATATTTCCAAGAAAAGAACATTCTTGCGCCATCTAGTGTAAAAATAATAAACTAACCAGTCACTCAGCCAATCACACAACAGCGCTGGATTATTCAACCAATCACAGGAGTGTCGGCTTTCCAACATATGAACTGACACAACTACTTGTATCATTACCTAACTGCTACTTCTGAGTCCTGAACCCCGGCCTGTCTCTTTTTCTTCCAGTGTATCAGCAATCCATATTTGACGCCCTGCTAAAGCTGATTTCTTATTGGCTGAATAACTGTTCTTTTACATGATCTTTTTATCTTTACGTTTAATGTCCCATCTCATTTTTTTACTAGTTTTGTCTTATCTCTCATATCTTGTTGTGTGTAGCCTGTGATCATTATCTATCTCCCGGCATCTTCATTAGAGTGTCTTCCATATATCTCATTAAGTTCTTTATGAATTTGTATATAAGCCTCAATTTCTCTGTCCAGCTTTGATGAACCTTGTATTAATTTATTTCACTATACATTACTGTAATTTGTGAATATAAAGTGTTATGAATATATTGCAGTATATGCTATACAATTGTATTTATCGCTAGTCTTATTAATTATTCGGTTTATATACTTGTGCAGGAGAAATACTGCAGCACAGAGGGATGGAACCACTTCCGGGAGAGTTACCAGGCGGTGCACGGCTGTATGTCGCTGGTAGTGTGTGTCTTCGGATCTATCGCCAATGTGATCAACATGGTGGTGCTGACGAGGCGCTCTATGTTATCACCAACCAACGCTATCCTGACGGGGCTGGCTATGACAGACCTGCTAGTGATGGTGGAGTACATCCCCTACACCATGCACCAGTACGTGTGGCAGGGCCGCCCCCTCACCTCACAGTACTCTTGGGGCTGGGCCGTCTTCGTCCTGTTCCACGCGCACTTTGCTCAAGTCTTCCACACCCTCTCCATCTGCCTCACTCTGATATTGGCCGTCTGGCGCTACATCGCTATCGCCTTTCCGCAGAACAACACCACCTGGTGCTCCATGCAGCGCACCAGTAGAATTATCGTAGTCTCCTTCTTCTGTTCGGTAATTTGCAATATTCCCAACTACCTCAACTTCACCATCAGCACGATAGAATACAATGGTCAGACATTATATATTGTAGGCTTCAGTGAACTGGCACAGGCGCACGGTGACTTAATGAAGAGCATCAACTTTTGGATTTACGCAGTAATACTCAAGTTGCTGCCATGTGGCGCCCTCACCGGCTTGTCTTTTGCTCTTATTCAGGAATTATTATTGGCCGCCCGAAGACGCACACAGCTCATGAAAAGAAACTCAGCAGGCCGCGCCTCTGACGCTGGGCGACAAGCCGACCGGGTTACAAAAATGTTGCTAGCCATTCTTGTGCTGTTTCTGGCCTCTGAAGTACCACAAGGTATCCTTGGACTTCTGACGGTCATTCTAGGCTCCGAGTTCTTCCCTTGCTACCAAAAACTCGGGGAAATCATGGACATGTTGGTGCTCTTTAACAGCGCCATAAACTTCCTGCTATACTGCGCCATGAGCCAACAGTTCAGGGACACCTTCAGCAACCTGTTCAAACCGTGCTGTGTGTCGGTGCTATCTATCCGCACGCCTCGATATATTCTAAGCTGGAAGGCCGTACCCTCGGCAGATCCAGGCCTGGAGAGCAACAACACATGTATCACACATGTCTGAGACACAGAGGTGCTTCAACTAAACATGTGTGGTCGCAGTGCGCGCTGCTGCCGCTCCTTGTATCCCCAAACATTTATGAACAAATTAGTCTCAGGCACCAAGCCAAGAGCTTTTACCGTTCATTTATTCAAGTTGCATTTTGAGGAGCCATGTTTTTCTGACAATGTTTAAGAATGATTTTTGTTGACATTTTATTCACTGACTGAAAATAGAAGATAATGGACCTTTCACTCGTAAACTATTATGTAATATAAGTCTAAAATACAGCCGTAGTTGTCAACAACACTTCGTAGAAATCCTGTCGAGTTTTCATTATTTTCACGCTCGATAAACTCCCTGCAATTGAGACATAACTTTATATTATATACATCATAATATAAATTTAACCTTAAAAACATTTTGTCAAAGTTAATGCGCTAAAAGTGTCAACAAAGGAACAACAAACTGATGATCTGAATACCATCTTGAACATACATTTACTGTCAAGGATAACGACTTTAGAATTACACCAAAGAGTTGGGACATTTGTTCCTCATCCACAGCGTGATAATATGTTGATTCAGTACTGGATCTGTGTTGCGAGTTGAGGTTGTATATATTCCTGTGATGAACTCCCTACTACTGTAGAATAACACGGAACATTACTTAGATGAAAGACGGTGGAATGATGAAATATTTTGGCAATAGAAATGTTTGTAATTCATGTTATAGAAGATCATTATGAGTGATTTATATTTACAGTTTCACAATGCTTAATATTCTTGTGTGTGTGTGTGTGTGTGGAATGAGAGTATGTATATAGACAAGAATAATGCTGACATGTTTTACAGAGTGATTAAAACAACATCAAACTTTAGTGATTCATAAATTACTTACTCCTACTGAGGTGACAAACTAACAGAATCTAGAACTGACTAATTTATTTATGTATTTATTTCCCAGATCTCACAGCCCAGGGCCTTAACACAGCTATAGAAGATTTGCCTATCGTGTAGGTATTTTGTGTAAGTCTGGACCAAAAGCAAACAAAAGCAAACAAAATGGCATATTAAAAAACGGGTCTAGTCAAAAAATATATTCTACTCTTAAGACACGTAAAAATTCTTGTGAACAGATAGAAATTATACAAAAAAGATTATTACACTGTATATAATATTCATATATATGTATAACATATTTATATAGATAGACAATTATATGGGTGAAGAGACGAGATGTAAATTGACATATATATATATAGAGGTAATATGATCCAGTGTATGTGTCAGTGTATATTGGATATGTAAAGCTTGATATGTGATACTGTTATGTGTTGCTTGATGGTAGTATATTACTGAAGTCCCCAAAACTGTAGGTGTGTGTATTCAGTAGATTCTCTTGTTTTCTGCTTCAGGTATTCTTAGGTTAGAGGAAGCAGCAACTAACTGGTCTATGTTTCAGTGTATATGTTAGGTCATCCTGTATCACTTTGAAACATAGTAAGCTACAACAATTTGTTTTTTCTTGAAGGCATGTACTTGTTTAAAATATAACACTTGTTTAAGAGCTCAAAAAAGACATTTCTTTGTAAATAGTAATATTTTTTTAATGTATAATTTAGTGTAGAATTAAGGTTCCTCTTCTTCTTATGGAGTTGGAGCCACGTGAATGGAACATGTATTGAGCTACATTCATAAACCTCCATCTTAAAGACCTCTCCTCACAGATAGTTGATTATTACTTTATTCTTCGTATCAATGCCACATTAGATAATATGAGATTTGTTTTCCAATATTTTGTATATAAACTCGAGAGCGATGTTCACGTAATAAACACACACAGTTTTCGTCCACTTGATGTGATGTGTAATTTTTCTCCTCTGAAGCTGAACACTGAAATATCAATTATGTCAACTGAGGAATTCTGTCTCAACTTACACACAAGTTTATATTTTATATATCTGAGAAAGCAAATATCATTCAATCTATTTTCCTGTCTATCTCCAGCGACTTGAGCCTCATTTGTGCTCTGATAAGTTTAAAATGTTTCACTTAAACTTGTCAGTCTCCAGAAATCCCATGTCTTATCTCCATGCTCCCTCCTGTCATATCTTATACACACATTCTTCTCCGTTTTATACAGCTTTTATCATCATATCTACACACCCTTCACATCACACATTCCTTCACTACATTATCCATCACTATCCTCATCATTCCTCTTCTCTCATATTCCTACTTTTTCTTACGTGTAGTTCTCTTGTTACTTCCCTTTCTCTCTTCCCATATAATATTTCTTCTTATCTCAAAGATCTCATACTTATCTCCCATGTTTCCTCTTATCTCTTACATCTGTGTGTTGTCTGGTACGTCTATTTACTGTTCCTCTATCATCACTGCTGCCTATAACCACCAGAGGATGTTGCCTTTCTCCTGCTCGTATTGTACTGTTCACGCTTGTTGCTAGTTAGGATGGTGGTAGGGAAAGGTAGTGGTTGTGTAGGGTGATGGTGTAGGGTGGTGGTGGTGGTGGTGGTAGTGATGGCAGCAGTGGTGTTGGTGGTAGTAGAAGTGGTGGAGTGTGGTGATGTTGGAACGTGGTGGTGGTGGTGGTGATAGTGGCGTTGGTAGTGTTGGAGCGTGGTGTTGACGGTAATGGTGGTGGTTCCTGGTGATGGTGGTGGTGATGATGGGTGTGATGGTGGTGGTAGTGGTGGTGGTGGGGAATGAGGTCGTCCCCTACAGAGCCCAAGGCTGGACGCCCACTCCCCAAACACTACCGCCCGCCACATTTACACACAAATAAAATAATTACATCTGTATAATCTGCCTTTCATTATCCTTTAACGTGATTGTTCCCCCTTAATAATACTTCACTAGCATTATCATTCTAGGCTTTATATAACCTGAGTGCTCGTAGATCTTTAGATTATCATACAAGTGGGTTAAACCTTCCAACCTCCTCCTCCAGACCACTTTACCTGTCATACGTTGTTGAAAATCTAGTAAAGTTAAGGTTATATGATCAATGGTTTGTATTTATATGGATGGTGTTGAATGTCTACTAGACAACAGAATAAGCTGGAAATTCATCACAGGTCTACTACCAATATTATAAACATTGAATTAAAGTTCTTCAATAAATTCGTAAACTTGGGCCATCCTGTGTCCACGAATTGTACATAAGTAAGGCAAAACAAACGCACCTTCAGTCCGTCATTATTGGAAATGCCTTACCTCTGTATATAACTAATACAGCGAACAGAAGAATAAAGTAATTTATTAACTTATTCGTGAAGATCTTAAATTTCTAATTAATATGCCTTACTGATCCTAGACCTTTGACTCTGACTCTACTTCTTGAAAATTAAGAGCAGGAACATAAACATCAAGAGGCTGCCAGCAAAGAATATTAGAAAACTCTCCTTTGGTGAGAACTACCAGTAATATAGAGAAGTAATGCACTTAATATCGTGATTACCATTAGGTCTGCACCGCAGGAATATGAAGTACACGAAGAGAAATCACTCGACCTCCCCATGCCTGGTCAGAGAGATTGTTTATACCCTCATACTCGTATACTGCCTTACTGTTTCCAGCTGCCAGAACTATACTATACAAGCAGTCATTCAAACATGCATATTTCGTAGTATTACCAGAATCGCTGTATGTGTAAAAGGATGTTAAGCTACATAGTAATGATATAAACGATATTCCTTCTGTTGTAGAATACTATTTGATTATTACCATATATTCGGAAATAAATGGCCAGATATCTGAAAAAAGTTGAGTGTAAACCTTCAGGACACTTTTGTTGACCCGTGTGAGCTGTAGTTGTATCCTGGTAAAGTCACACACACACACACACACACACACACACGTCACCTCAGCTCATCTGTAATATTAAGTCTCTCTCACTATACTTTAACTAATATTTCAATAAACTCATCAGAGTACGGCGCATCACTCAGAGTAGCGCCAGCACAGGACAAGAACACCACTAATGGAAGTAAACAGAGTGAGAGGTTACTGTAGCGACCACGCCCCCTTCGAAACCAAACGAGGTAATTATAATGGTTAGATCATTGTTATAAAAACCAAATATCCGTCAGTATCAGGAATATCTCCCTAGTAAGATGATGACCCTCATGTGAAGCACTGTACTGTAAGCTTGGGCTATACATTATGAATGATGCTCTCTTGCAAACACATTCTATCTCCATTAGTTGTTCTTCCCTCATTCTCACTGCCGGTGGAAAGTGTCACATGAAAAAGTATATTTCACCCCATCATCGAAAAAAGTAATTTATATCATTTAAAAAAAGAGAAGCCAGATAAAACTTGTACCAGAGATGTTAGAGGAGACAGATAATAAGATGTTATCTTAATTGTCTTATAAAATAAACAAAAACTTTAACACATTTCCGAAACCCATTTAAAAAATCCCGCTTAAGATCAGTATAGATACAAGTAAGGTTTTTGTTTCATCAGCTTTATATAAAATATTTTGTTCGTGTAACTTAAACAATACAGTATTACATCTTGCAATAATAAGCATAAAAGATTAATTCGGTATTAACCTTACACATGTAACCGCCACCTACCAGCCCTCATATAACACGCTGGAGGTTATAACGCTAGTATATTAATTTTCTACAAAACGTACGTCGTGAAAAAATAAGGTTTTTAATTACTTTACACACCATAACAAAGAGAGACAAAACAAGTTATTCATCACAGAAAAAACAGACAGAAGCTCAGTAGCACAGCACTCCATCTGATGGAATAACATGACGAATATTTACTGAATATGGAGGACTTTGTGGGGCTGAGAATTCTTCAGGATCAGGTGACTGAATAATTGGTGATGAGAAGGACCACAGTCTACCGTCTAAAGAGCCATCACAAGAATCAACAGACTCAATGCTGAGTGTTGGTGACGCCTCCCGAGCTCCTTTCTCAGCTCCTATCTTCACTTCCTGGTTCGGTGACTCATTCTGGCTTTCTGGGTTTTCGTCTTTCTCGATGTTTTTATGTACTACAATCTCCTTCAAGTGAGGTTGCGATATCTGTAAAACATGGAAAATACACCTATGAGTATTTTACGTATGGATATTTTACATGATTAGAATTTGTTCATAAAGTTAATTTCTTTTACGAACAATTACATATACATATACAGTGTAGGAGACTCACTTTCTTTGGCACCGTGATAGTTAAAACACCATCCAGAGACATAATAGCCATGATTGCTTCGATCTGGACGCCACCAGGAAGAAAGAAATGACGCAGGAATTGTTTTACGGACTTGGGGTCCCCTTTCACTTTCTCCACACGGCCCTCCACCACCAATTCTCTCTCGTCCAAGAACTTGGCACTGATCTCACCACCATTTGCGAAGTCGTGTACATCCAAAACAAACTGAAAAAAAAATATTGACTTAACTGTACTTCATATATTCAGTGACATAATGTCTCTTTTCCATTTACAGATTGAAAATACCATTAAAAAAAAATATATCAACTAACTTTATAGTTGAATTCGTTCTCGGATGATCTCACAGCTTGATTATCGTCCCTCATGTTACGAGCTCGTAGACTTCTGTAGCAGGTCATGTCGTCTGTGGCGGAAGATCCATCACCCCATTTTGACACAACGTCCCTCACAGCGTCCCGGAAGTCTTGCCGGCTATCCGCAAACACAGGATCTTTGAAGAAAAGACCTCTTGTTGGGATAGAAAGACTGGAACAGCGTGGAAAATGGGAATCACTGCATGCACTGATAGTTTCTCTCTCTGGAGATTTAATAAAGAGTGATTTTAAACTGTTCTTTGTTGGGGCATCTGTAGTATTGCTTCGATGTATATCTTTTGTCTCTTTGTCGTTTACAATACTTTTTTGTGAGTAAACTGAAGGTGATTTTGTTTTTTCACGAGAACATGGCAAGTATTCGCAGGATAGTTGTGAGCCCTTAGTTTGTGAATAAATTTCGTTGCTTGCAATATCTGTGTCAAAAATTTCTGATGTAGTTTCTCCTTCTCTATAGTCTTGTGAATTTATAACACCTTGGCGGAGTTCCTGTTGTTGATAGTCTTCCAAAACACACGTTTTCTCTTTATCTTGTAATTTCAGAGGGACGGCAGGTAGGCACTTGTCGGCCACAGCCTGAGTGTTCAGACCAGGAGTGTGCGTGTCTTTGTTACTAAGGACTCCGGTAATTCTTATGGGAATTCTCGACCACACTTTCCTTTGTGTTTCCTGTTGAAAATTATATGGTATAAGCAAGCAGTTTTATTAACATGAATCTTGATCAAATTTACAAAAAGAATATAGAAAATAATATTTCATTATCCTTTCATACACCATGTAGTTTATAATACTCTCTAGTAATATTAAAATGGACTTTAGTGTGAAACAAGACGTTAAATTTTGTCATATCCCTGATTGTATTAGTGACTGTGTGCTTTAATTTCAATTCCATTTTGCTGACAACCAACGCATCTTACCATTTTCGGTACAGTGACGGTGAGAATCCCATCGGATGATATTACTGAAGTGATGCTCTCTATTTCAGTCAGGTCAGGCAGGGAAAAGCGACGCCTAAAACTCTGGCAGGAACGAGAGAATTCACCATTGTTTGTCTTCGTGCGTGCCTCCACTACAACTTCCGTCTCTCCGACAACCTTCACCTTCACCTCCCCGTCCATGAAATCATGAACGTCCATCACTATCTGCAAGAATCAACATACCTTATCAAACTTACTGTATTATACGGTTGTTGACTTAACCGACTAATAAAAAGTAAAACAGCTGTTAATGATTATAACACATCTACATGTGTTTCACCTTTAACACTTTTCTTTGACACCTTACCTTATGGCCCGTACTATCAGAGGTGACGGTGACGGCTTGGTTCTCCTCTCCCTGGTGTTGTGCTCTTAGCCGCCTGTAGCGACTGAGGTTCTCTGAAAGGCGGAAGTTTGTGTCGTTCCATGTGTTACCGAGGAACCCTGTCTCATTCCATCTTCTAAGTATATCTCTAATAGTGTCGTCGAAGACCTGGCGTACATACTCAAAGAAAGAGTCTTGTAAGAAAAGTCCTTTACGGAAGATAGGCAAATAATAGTTCAACAAACCGTCGTCACAACATCTACAGACACAGCTGTTCATCTTCAAGGGAGAGCTGAAAGTCATGATAGAATGAACCTTCTGGTCGTGGATGGGAGCCATGTTCTTCTCAGCTGTGAAACACCTGAACAGCTCTTAAGGAACAAGTGAAGATCACCGGAGTCTCACAGTGGTTCACCGTGCACTGGCGGACGTCAGCATGGACTCAGCTTTATACAATAAACTCCCACCTTCTTCCGTGACGTGGCCGAGGCGTCACTTGTTTATTCTTAGACCTGTGTGTGGTGCCAAAGATCGGTGCCAAACATGTCGAAGATTCGCTATGTTACTCATAAGTGATTTTTATACTTAAGATGGCCATGTATTTTCAGTTTTTACAATATGAACCAAGGGTCAAGGTCAGTTGTGCGTAAATTTCATTAGGATTATTTATCAGTCTGTCTGGAGATTCACAGCCTCTCAAGCCAACTGAACAGGGTATAGAACGATGATCAGTCTTGTCTTTTGATATTGTATACTCACCACATACGACACAAGTCACGTTTCCATCAGATTTCATTAGGCAATTATAATGGAATGCCATATATGGTGCCAACTCCCACATCATGGTAGTTGAAAGTGCCCCTATGAATATTAATATATATGATAAACAAATATTTATTGAAAACGAGATACAACACTTCCTTAATCCTAGGATATTCCCAGTGTATTTATTTTCTAAGACTATGCCATATACTGTATTTGATATAGGCAGCTTTAACAATTTTCGTCTCTACCAGTCTACATAACTGTATACTGTATGTGTCTGTCTGTTTCTTGATTCTTGGTGGTTATTGTCATATACAGTAAACACACACACAAAAAAAACAATGAATGCTATCATGAGAACGGGTGGTTTCTTCGGTGAGCTTTAAATGTATCAAGGAATTACTCTTATATTGATCGGCAAAACTCTTAAAAGAATCCTTGGTCTAAGGCAGTATGCAACAGAGACGCTCTCTAAAGATATCATTTATTGTCACATCATGTACACTCGCACCAAAAAGTATCGGTGCAGGGTGAGATCGACGAGTTCCGAAACGATACGTATACACTGTGATATGTCGGGAAGGTTGGTAAGTGTATCCCCATAACCCCCCCCCCTCTTCACTAGGTGTTGCCATATGGCTGACAATCAGGGCTGCCAACATACGGCTGGAACAACTCGCCTTTCCCAATACCTATCGTCACTGGTCTCAAATTGTTCACACTACAGTATGCACCGATAATTTTTGTTGCGAGTGTACACAAAACATCTTAGTTTATCCTTTTGGAACAAGCTTAAGAAATTAATTTATAATGTCTACCCATAAACTTCACTGAGAATGACAGTCAGCTCCCAAAACGCTATTGAAGATACTTCAGAACAAGTTACTTACTTCCCAATAGTTTATCAGTTTTCGTGTGCTAGTATAAACTGATAAACTAAAAACACAATATATCACCAGTCACCTCGCCGTTCACATGCTCAGACGTTTTAGTTCTCGGTCAGGCCAGCAACAAGACTGACCTACCCATCATTGAAACTCTCTTTCAATATAAACTAAAACCTGCTATCAGTGATATGGTCTCGCCTGAACTAATGTGTTTCTCATATTAAGGTTTGTGTACCTCTATCTTTATTCCTCTTATGTAAAGTCTCGTTCAAGATTCTTCGAACACTGCTGGAGACAGCTGGCAACTTAAGGCCGTTTGTTTACTATAGTACGTAATATAATATAATACGAAACAACAAAGCCCAACCATTAAATTAAGAAACGGAGAGCTAATTAACCAATCATCGATCACTTTTACATTTCTTCATAATTTTTACTACGTACCATAGTAAACAAACGACCCAGAGTTGCCAGCTGTTTCCAGCAGTGTTCGAAGAATCTTGAAAGAGACTGTACATTTGTGTTCTTATTTCAGCACTAACACTTCTTCACTTTTGTATTTGTTAATATTAATGTTGTGACTTTAAAACAATATTAAATTATGTATTCCATTATTATAAATTTACACGCGTTCCGAAACGAAAGCTAATCCTTTAAACAACTCAGTACCCAAGATGTTTGTGATTTCTCAGGGTTCCTTTTTGTCATCAAACTACGTTTTCAACGTAACAAGTTTATTGTTGATATACAGGGTGATTCAGCAAAGAGTACATTAAATTGGAGGATGAAATCCTTGGTTAATTCTAAACCACAATGTCTCCATGGTAAAATGTCAGATTCTGCATCGTTCGCGACAGGACATTACCATTGCTTCAACTAAAGCAACACAACTTTAAATGAAGGAATGTTTTATGTTCTAGTAATGGAGTCAGCCAGAAAGTCAAATAAAAGTGTTTTGTGAGTGATATCGCTGTCATATTTTGTATACTCCGGATTAAAAAATGCATATTGTCTACAAAGTTTATATTGTCACTAAATTTTCGGGCAAATCAATTTACACTCATCCGTACTCAAGATGGTGTAGATAGATAGTAATTTTCTCCTCTATTTTGAATTTCTTTTTACTCTTATTTTTTTCGCCCCCCCCCCAGGCCCTGTTGTGGGTCGATGACCTGTGCCCGGGTGAGCTATTCCCTGAAAAAAAAAAACAAAAAAAAACACAGAAGTAATAAAATTCAATTAACAGTAAATAATTTTCTGCCTCTTTCAAATTAAAACATCAAATTCAGCTTTAATTTATTCGCTTAAAATAAATATAAATCACTGGAAATTAATCCTTTCCTTCTTAATTTGCCCAGTACAAAAACGTTTCAAGAAAAAATATATCCCGTAAGTATAGGAAAATTTCTTATAATTAAAATTGTTTATTGGAGGAATATTGCTGGTGGGAGCGGTGTGTGCTGCTGATGGTGCGTGAACTGCATCCCTCAGATTCTTGAGCGGACTTTCGCACATTTTTTTCCTCCCATGCTTGGCCTCCGTCGCTGTGAGCATCCTTCCTTGATTTACTTTCCATAAACATCTGCTTGCTTCTAGCGCCAGTTTCACTTGAATGTTGCAACTTCGGGGAGATGATGGTGAGGACGCCATCTGAGGACATGACGGAGGTAATAGCCTCCAGGTCGACACTGGGAGGAAGAGAGAAGCGTAGTAGGAAGGTCTGTGTGGCCACTGATGTTCCTTCTTCTTTATTGGCTCGTCCTTCAACCACAACTTCTTTACCTCCAACAACTTCAACCTTCACATCACCTCCAATAAAGTCATACACGTCGACGACAATCTGTTAAAAAAAAGATTCGTGACACAGACGAAATATATTGTTGTGTGTTAATGAAAACTTCCGGTGTGAATAAGACAAGAAGTAACAAACCCTTACATATTACATCCCTACCTTTAAGGACTGTTGATCTTCCTCTACACGGACGGCTTGATTCTCCTCTCTTAGATCGAGCTGTCGCAGATTCCGGTAGGTAGTGATGTCGTCGCATTGGAAGGATCCTCTTTTTGTCCTCTTCAGTACATCCTTGACAGCAGCCACATAATTTTCCCTGGCATCTTTGAAGAAGGAATCATTGAAGAAGGCTCCTTTCAAACTTATGGGCAAAGCTCTGTTTTCAAAGAGAGAACTTGATTTCAGACCTTGACGACGGTTGTATTGATTCACGTTTGACATATTCTTGTCTATGTTAATATTCATATTTTTATTGGCATTGGAACGAGTTTCCAACCTGCTGACTTGATGATCAGTCTCAGTTCCTTGGAGGTCGGGAGCGACTTCAGGTTTTACATCGGCTTTACTGACATTCTTCTCAGTGACATCTTGTTCAGTAAGAATTTTGTTTACTGCCGAGACATTTTGCTTCTCCTGAATGTAGAAAGATTTTCCTTCCTTCTTATCAGATGTTTCAGTCTGAGATTCGTCTTCCTCAACAACATGAACTGGAATGACGTGCTCCCGTCTAGGACCGACCTGTCAAATGTAAGATTCGCTCTAATGACATGATAAAAAAATATTATATAATCATTTATCTTTGTATCATGAAAACTTACAATTATACTACATAAAATTAAACAGAAAAGGTGCAGATGTAAGTTACCGTGGCTGAGGCAAGAGAAGAGTTGTGTTGAGTTGAAAATTCCTCATGTAAAGAAGCCTCAGTGTCAGCTGATGAGCCCGAGGATAAATTTACAGTTGATGAATCAGAGGAATCATGGGCCTTGATGCTGACTGCCGGGGTCGGTTCTCGAGTTTGTGTTTCAACTCTTGTCTTCAATGTATCACTTGATGACTGGTTATAACTTTCGGTTTCTTGGTTTCCTTCCTCTACGCTAATAGGCACAATCACTTCCTTGATATGAAGTGATTTAGGCTGAAAATATCGATAATATAAGTTAGTGGTGTGAATTCGGACAAAAGACATACTTCATATGGTAAGAAAATTCCTAAGCAAGTAATACCAAACTCTATTTACTTCCACTATTTTCATTTGTAAACAAATAGACAACTAACCTTCTTAGGCGCCGTGATAGTTAGGACACCATCTGCAGACATGACTGATGATACTGATTCTAAATGAATATCCCTTGGCACAACAAAACGACGAAGAAACTTCTTTGTGTACTTGGAACCAGCTTCTTCTTTCTCAACTCGACCCTCCACCATCAACTCTCTGTCGTTCACTGCCTTAACGGAGATGTCCCCACCAGTTGTAAAGTCCTGGACATCCACAAGAAACTGGAAAAAACGATGATTCAATTAACAAATTGAGGTCGTAAGTAAATAAACTTAATGATTTCATTGCCTTATCAATGTTCAACAATGCCTTTGATACATCAACTCACCTTATAATTGAACTCGTCCTGAGAAGACTTCACAGCCTGATTCTCGTCCCTCATGTCACGAGATCGTAGGCTCCTGTAGCTGGTCATGTCGTCGTTGGCAGAACACCCTTTACCCCACTTTGACACCACCTCCTTGACAGCTTCTTGAAAATCTTTCCATGCATCTTGGAAGAATGAATCATTGAAGAAGAGACCCCTTGTTGTGATGGGAAGAGCTGTCGCCATGGGGATGTGCATTGCACTTGACTGAGAAGTAGACTGTTTCTCGTCAGAGTGCTGAGAGTGAGATGTACAATTCGATTGGGCAGAAACACTTGGCAACTTCACATTCCCGTCATTTTGTGCTCTAGCGGTTCCTGTGGAATCGTTTGTGATTTGGTGACACTTTTTCTTTTGACATTCCTGAGCCTCACATTTATCTTCTTTCGTGTCAAACTTTTGTGAGATGCTGGATGAGGCAGAATTACCCGAGGCACCTTCAGAGACAGTGGTTTTAGTAATCTTTGCATCGGTAGGAGTATTTAAATCTCCCTGTATTGTGATAGGAATGGTGGTAGTGGTGTCCTTTATTTGGCTTACCTGTCAAATAAAGAAAAGTTAGACTCGAGGTGTTTTACTAATTCGACACGAAGCCGTAAATATTGCAATGAAAAGACATTTAATTTTATTGTGAAATACTCACAGCAATCGGAATGGTGATGGTGAGAATGCCATCAGATGACATGACAGACGTAATGGCCTTCGTGTCAGTCAGGTCAGGCACAGAAAAGCGACGCCTGAAACTCTGGCAAGACAGAGAGAATTCACCATTGTTTGTCTTCATGCGTCCCTCCACTACCACTTCTGTTTCTCCGACAACCTTCACCTTGACCTCCCCGTCCATGAATTCATGAACGTCCATCACTATCTGCAATAGTAAAGACAACTCTCTTAATGTCACTGAATTTATTAAACCGAAATAAACATAAGAAATTAAAAAACATGAAATGAGTAGTTTTGTTTCTTGTGAAGGGAGTTGTAAACTGCTGTTATAACCTAATCAAATCAAATAAGATTTTTTTTTGCTGTGCATATGAATATGTATATGTAATATAAGGCAGTGAACATTTAAATAACGAGATATCTAGAAAAAGGAATAGCCATAATGAAAATAGTTTATCGCAAAAATAAGTCACCAATTAATGTGTTATATCTACCTTTCAGTAGCATTATAGGGGAATGATAATTTTCTTAGCTACTTATTGGTAATCTTCGAAGGCATCATAGTTCATTAATACCTACTGAATATTTATAAGTATCCCTGTGTATGAAAATCTGTTTTATCTTTCACATGCTTAAGTCTTTAACAGCAAATAACTTACCTTATGACAAGTACTGTCTGTGGAAACAGTGAAGGCTTGGTTCTCCTCCTTTAGATTTTTCGCTCTTAGCAGTCTGTAGCGACTGAGATTGTTGGATATAAGGAAGTTGGTGTCATCCCATCTGTCAGTGAGGACATCTGTCTCGCCCCACTTCCTCAGTATCTCGTTAACAGCGTTTTGGAAGTCATTTCTACTATTCTCAAAGAACGAGTCATTGAAGAACTGTCCCCGTCTAGTGATTGGTAGAAAACTGGACTTAGACAAGGGAACATTACGGATTTCTGTGGCTGTTGATGAAGATTTCTCGGTGTGAACTTCCGTGTCAGAAGTGTTCTTCATTTCGTTATTGGTTTTGCACTGAGACTCTTGTTTAGATATTTCTCCTAAATTACTGGAATGTTCACTTGAACTTTGAACGTCACTGGAATGAGAATTGCATTCGCTTTTAACCAGCGTTGAATTGATCTTAATAGGAACTTTTTGTGCTTCCTTTAGACGTGTGATGCTCTTTTCCTCTTCGTACTTTTGACAGCAACCTTTGCAGTCACATTCTTCATTTTGGTTCACAACAAACTGACCGTCGGTAGAGGAAGTCGAGGTGTTTGAAGCAGCCTGAGAAGACGAGGTGGTAGAGCTGTCAACAACCTGACCATTTACTTTTCCTTCAACTTGAATTGGAATAGTTGCGCATTCTTTTTGTGTATCATTTTCCTGTTGATAAAAATGTAAATTAATGTTAAGATATTCTTAGTATAAATTATCGTATCCCCAAAAAGTTGAGTGTTTGTTATGATTTTGTTGGAGTAATTTTGCCCTAATAATATAATTTTCTATGCACAGACGTCTCAGGCTAACAGTTTTTCCTATAAAGACATGCGCACACTAACAAATGTAAACATATATATATGTAATGTATAAATGTGAATATCAAAATTATTTATAATAATTTCACCACGCCAACTTTTCAGTCATCGTGTACTTACTATTTTAGGAGCAGTAATTGTTAGTATACCATCAGAGGACAACACGGCAGTGACGGCCTCCATGTTGGTCATGTGTGGCAAGATGAACTGGCGTCTGAAACTGTGGGAGGACGCGGAGCTTCCGTTCTTTGTTTTCTCTACGTGACCCTCCACCAATACTTCTTTCTCCCCAACAATCTTCACCTTCACTTCCCCGTCCATGAAATCATGAACATCCACCACGATCTGTAAAAGTGTCAAGAATTTGATGAGTCTCTTAAAAAATTACCATGCTTAAATACACAAATATTCTCTTTTCTTAAAGAGAATATATATATATATATATATATATATATATATATATATATATATATATATATATATATATATATATATATATATATATATATATATATATATATATAATTTTTTTTTTTTTTTTACCAAAGAATGCACCTCACCTTATGACAAGTGTTGTCGGAGGAGGCAGTAATGGCTAGGTTCTCTTCCTTCAGGTTTTGTGCCCGTAGCTGTCTGTAGCGACTGAGATTGTTAGATAACCGGAAACTGGTATCATCCAATTTGTCAGTGAGGAACTCTGTCTCGCCCCAGCTCCCAAGTACCTGCCGGAGGGCGTCTTCGAAGAGAGCATGTGCATGACCGAAGTGAGAATCTTGGAAGAAAAGTCCCCTTCGGCTGATAGGCAGGTAAGTATTCCATAAACTGTTCGTAGAAGAGTTACAGTGACAACTGGTCATGTTTGATGATGTGGAAGAGTTGTTGGAAAGTGAAGTCCGACTGCAGATGGGTGCCATGTTGCCTTTCACTTGATTTATTCTTGAAAAACTGTTTACGACTTAAAGTTTCGATGGTGGTCTACAGCGCTCAGTTGTGTACTGAGGGCAGAGCTATGAGCGTTGCCTTTATACCAGAGACACCCACCTACGACTCTGACGTGGGTGAGGTGTCTTTGTCTTATTTTTGGAGCGGCGATCACTGCCAAGTGTGATTAAGATTTGTGCCAAGAATACTGAAGATTTATAATGTTAGTCATGAACTGTTTTTGCACGATACATAATCTTCTTCCAGTGGCTTCTTAATATATATATATATATATATATATATATATATATATATATATATATATATATATATATATATATATATATATATATATATATATATATATATATATATATATTGATTTATTAATTTTTATTTTTTACTTTTCACGGGCGCAATATTCATAAACATATATCATATCTTACTTTAAATACTTTTTTCAGTGATCATCATAATATTTCATGAAATCTTACTATATTATTTTATTCTATAACTCCCTTATTTACGTACGATACTTCCAAATGAAACCACATAGGAAAAGAGCGATAATAATAATTTGAACTTATTAAAAGCCTATGTATATATTTCTTAAATATTTTAAGCGGGATATGAATCATAATTTCTAAAATTTTTATCCACCAAAATAGCAATGTAATACAAATAAAAGGAAAGTGAAGCTGGAAGTACGAGTTATGAATTACTTTTTTCAGTAGGTATCCAAAAGTTATCTACTTTGTGGATTGTACTAGCACAATTTTTCCTAACCTCTTGCATATAATGGATATGCAGTATTTTGAGTCTTAATTGAAAGTGAGATAAACTTTGCTGATTTTTATGTTAGTGATATCATATTCTGTGACTAGATTAATTAAATATTCCCCCAATTATTAAAACGTGCCCTTCCATGCTAAATGACTGCTAGATGCAAAGACAAAACATGTCATGAATGTTGCTACCAATAATGGAAGTAAAAAATTAATTTTTTGGGGGTAATTGCGGACGGGTCGTAAGCTTGGCAGTGGTGCCTTGTACTGTACCTGTAGGTTCCCAGTTGATGGATTAGGCTACCCGTCCCGCGGTCGACCAGAAATTGCTTTGCGATCTACTGGTAGATCGCAATCGACGTTTTGGCCAACTCCTTGGAGTGACAACGTCATTCCATGAATAAAATGTGAATAAAAAACTGTAAAAAATTTAGTTTCGTAGCTCAAAATATGTTTCATGCATTACATGCCCAAAGAAAAGAACAAACTACTGAATAAATAATAATACAGAAAAGCGACTGAGTAATCCTGTATCAACGAGCTCCGCACAGCACTTGAGTCGGATTGGGTGAGGGGAGAGTACAGGGTACGAAATTGTGCCGAGTAATTGCTCATTATTGCTGTGCACAAACTGAGGTTTACCCATTTGGGACTAAAGTGAGAAATACTAATAGTTTTCTTAAGGTTTGGTTGCTGGAAGTAAACTCAGAGACACCCTCAGGTAATTATTATATTAGATATCCCAATTTAAATGTTCTTAACTAGTTTCAATTTTTACAGTGTGCTGTATTAATATTTTGCTTTGGATAACCACAATAAAAATTATTTCACCATTATAGAGCGATTTCCCACTATAATGTGGCACTTCAGTTTTCCTATGTTGTTTCCATTCAGCAGCACCCCAGTTATTTATCTGGTTTATCCCATGTCCCTGATTTGTCCATTCCTCATAGTGGGACGAATATCAGGTACAATCATGCAAATGATCACACAAACATGAAATTTGGTTTGAACATTCAATATTGGTTACTTATTAAATCTATCCGATTGGAAATTCAAAATTCCAAGATGGCGGACATTTTTCCATGATGGCCGCCATATTTGCCTAACCGAAAACATTGTTTTACATACAATTACTTAGTATTGGGAAATCTGTGCACATAATATATCTATTCCTATATTTTAAAGCATACTGGAACAGATTATGATTGTTTTGGTATCCTCGGATATGTCTTTTATGCATAAAGTAACGGTTCTGCACATACCTCTACCTTTTTTCATAAAAATTATTGAAAGCGATTCTTAGTTAAACAGTGATAAACATGTTTATATCGTGCTCATATCTTTGGGAGATATTATTATAAGAATTCTTTCATATTTACAGCTGCTGGCATGTGCATTGTGACGTGACTGGTCCTCCTGATGGGCTGGACGAGGACGCTCCCGGGACCTACCTACCGTCTGCCGTAGCCAAGTGCTGAAATTATTACCGATGGAATTGGTGTACCGACTGCTCAGGGTCATATGTGGACAAGCTGCTGAGTGGACTCTGCACCTGTCAAGACTCTGCGCCATCTCTTGCTGTAGGAATCGACTATGAATACTCCTCTGTCGTATTCGTCCTTAGCGGCGGAGGTGTGACGTGACGTTGAGTCCCAGGGGTAGAAAGGATCAATTAGAAACTTCCGGAACAACAACAACAAATCATAGCTAGATCACGTGGGTATGGAACGTGTGAAGCCGGCTGAAACGTCAGAGGTGACGTTTCATGGCGCCACTGGAAAACTGATGCCTGATTGGTTGTAGATTCCCGCCAAAATGTGATGTGGTAACCATAGTACACTGGACAGGAGGAGAAGCAGATTTGACGCGGCTGAGGGAGGTGGAAACGGTGGAAGGAGTTCAACACATAGCAAAAGACATTTACTTGAGTATACATTATATTGTTGAGAGTCTGTGAGGCAAGGAAAGTGGAGGAAGAATAGGATAGGATATCGTCTGTGTATAGGATGTAACATTGTGTAGGATATAATATTGTGTACTTGGCTTGAAATTTCGTAACATTATACTGGTAAAAAAACGGTGATGTTATATAATCTTCTTTGTATTGAGTGGTGTACCCCAACCCTCGTTATTGTTTGCTTAATTGTCACTGTTAATTATGATTAACGTAACTTGTTTGTCTGCTTAGTTGTGAATATTCCCAAATCGGTTAACACTTGTAAGCATTTTTTTTTATTCATGTTTTTGTACTTTTGTTAGATGCTTTATTTCTTTTGTTAAATGAATTTGTATTTTAATTTACTCTAGTGTATTGCTTATTCCTTTCATTTATTAATTTCATTGGCGACCTTGTTATTTTTTTTACTGTTACCGGAGTGGTGAACCTGTGGTTTGACCACACAGAGCTGTGCAAGTGAGACCAGAGCCGATACATTTACGTCACTGTCCACAGTCTTTCTCATAGCAGCTCGCTGCTAATGGTGGGAGGTCTGTCCAGTGCATTTGCCACATATCTCCTTTCTTTTTCCAGCCCTAGTTAGCAGGACTTGGAATGTCTGGTTGGGCTACTGTTGCCTGACCCCAAATCATTCCACTCCACCTTGATAGGTTGCACGCTTTACTTGTTACTTTGGGGCAGACCGTGTTGGTGGAACTGCATTATTATGATCTCAGTTTACGAGCAAATAAATCAAGTCTTGCACCATAAAATATATAAAGGTGGACTAGACCTGTCATACACCACCACCACAAACTGATGTAGGACACTGACTGAGTTTGGTGAAGGTACTGGAGACCTCGCTAAACATATTCCATGTTTGCCATGCAGTCTTTTTACCTTTACCACAGAAGGCTGACACAACATCACAACCACTGAATGCATGGAAAAAATGTGATTCCATTGTTTTTTCAGGCCCTATGGCTACAACTAATTCATAAACAGGAATCCATCTTGTATAAGCCCCTTGGCCATAAGATCCACATTTCTTCAATATCAATTTATTCTAGTGATGTGAACACAGATATAGCTATGGCAATGATATTCGTGTCATTGGCTTTTACGATAACTCTTTTACTGCCTTCCAATACAGCTTGTCTTTCATGTACAAAGAGGCTAGTATCTGCCTCTTCATGGGAGCATGGAGTTAACTCTTCCACTGTAGAAGCGTATCATGGTTGCTAATGGCATCTTCTCCCTCTGTTACAATAATTGTACATGGTGTAACAATTTCACACCTCTTGTCCGCAAGGAAGTGAAAAATGTCAGTCTTGTTATTGTCATCTCTTACAAAACTTCTCCAATTTGTTGGAGCTTTGCTATTTCCTGTCACCCTTTTATCTGATACTCTGACCTTGTTTTTACCTGGTTCCAGCCTCTAAAGTGTCCTTTTTAATGACATCAAACACAACATCCGCCCTCTTATATTTGGTAAAGTCAGATTCCAATTTTGGAAGAATATCTTCACTGGCACATTCTTTGAAAGTTTTTCATGACTTTGGAAGAAAAGCATTAATCATAGATGAACCATCTATTATTATGATGTCAGCAGCTGTGTCTAGCTTAGTCGCACCAGTTTCAAGAATTTCAACTAGCTGAGACTTTTGACAGGTATGAAGTTGACAGTTGTCACTCAATAGTGCAGGGTCAGACTGATTCTCATGTTTGAAGAATTCTTACAAATCACATTGTCTGGTCTGGCAAGAAATGAAAAACTGTGAAAATAAATGACAATCATTCTTCAGGAACTTTTTCTTTGAACTGTCAGCACTTGTTCATGTTTGAAGAAGTTTACCTTGTTTCTCTTGATTGGCTGGTAGAAGGAATTGTTCTCATTAATTTCCAGCCTCTGCATGAATGTCTGAAAATTGTCTTTGCCCGTTTGCAAGTGTGTATAAACCATTTCAGTGAGGGTAGGATCAGCAATGTCCTTTGTATCCAACACAATTAGGTCAGTTGGCTCGTCTAGAAATGGATTTCCCATTTCTTGCAACACATTGCACAGTAATTTTACTTTATCGTAGAACAACCTTTGAGTATTTGGTTTCTCTTCATGGCATTCACTCTTTATAAAGACATTTCCTTTGAATGCTATCCATTTCGGAGTTTTCAACACAAAAATCAGATTCTAACAGGTAAATCAATACTGAAATCGCCTGAATTGATGAACACAATAGCTTTTATGCCAAAAAAGAAAATCTGGCATCCACATTTGGCGACCATCTTGGAAAATGGCGGTCATCTTGGAATTTTGAATGTCCAATCAGGTCGATTTGATAATTAACCCATAATGAATCTTCATGCAAATTTTCATACTCGTATCACCATTTGGAAGATTCCCTCAAAAATTTACACTTAGCCACTCCGCTAATACCATCTACTCCGTCTGTTACTCCAGCTTCTTAGTTTTCTCACTTCCCTTCTATTATTCGTCTGGAGTTATATGCTCTTTTTTACTTTTTTTCACTTACCAGTCTCTCGAAGCGCCCATGCTATATTAATAAGCGCTTGTCTATCATCTTGTATCCAGAATCCACGCTTTTTATCGAAGTAAAAGTTCTGGTTTGACGAATCATCTATACATTTCTATCTTTGGGGCCATAATCGTAGGTTCCTCTTTCTATACATTTTTCAATGCACCTCTTGCATATTTTTTCACTAATCTGTGATCTAGTTAATCGTTCATTCTTTCTTTAGCTAAATGTCAACTCCAACCTTTCTTCTCATATTTTTTCCGCTATTAAACACTTAATGATTTGTTCAGTAACACTTTAAAACATTTCATCCATCATCTACCTGGGCACTGCGTCCTCATATACCACAACCAGGCACGGAATTTTTTCTCTTACCATTATTAATACTATGACCTATCCTACTTATCCATTCATGGATACCATGAACAAACACGGCAGTTCTACACAACGCTGACGTAGTACTACTATCACTGGGAGGGAATTTCTCTTTCCAGCACAAATGATACCTTATATGTATCATTCTGCCGAATGAAAATTCCGGCCAATGTTCTTCAATTTTCCATACATCTTTCTTATCATTTTTTTTAATTCGTCCTCAGTCCATACAGTATATCACATTCAAAATAATTTCTTGCCATTCTCCAAAAATTTGGGATTCATGGTCCTTAAATGGTAAAACTGTTCAATAACTATGATGATTCTTTCCTATAACTTTGGAATGTTATATACCACGGCATTGTTTTTAAATTTTATTTATATATTATATAAACATACATATTGAAACAATTTATATAAAATAATCACAGTCAATGAAGCCCATCATAAGAAACAATAAATTTTTTTACACAAGACGTTGTTATGTAAGAATTTTCTGTAAACGAAGAATGAAAAATTTACTTATGAAGGAGGAATGAGAAGTCTGCTCTTAGGATGTAAGGCTTCAGCGTTCCGAAAGTCATGGCATCTGTTGGAAAATATAAAACTGATTACTGAATTTGGAAGCTGTTGAGTAAGAATATATCAATTATCTTATTTTTTCTAATCTGAATTTGGAGAAATATTGCATATTCAGTAGACTATTCATAGTATTTCTGTATTACATGTAGAAACAGTTGTCTTACCTTATGTGTTACTGCCAATCACATTTCGTGCTTCTGGAAGTTGCAAAGTAGGTGGAATAAAGATATGATTTTCATAAAACAAATTAACATGATTTTGTATTAGAACTTCATTAAACATAAAGAATTCATAAAACTAATAATTATTGACGGTAAATTAGATGCTCTGGGTAAAAAATACTTAATGTAAATTTGAGTGTTTTTTTTCATTAAAATGGTTTATTGGAGGAATATTGCTGGTGGGAGCGGTGTGTGCTGCTGATGGTGCGTGAACTGCATCCCTCAGATTCTTGAGCGGACTTTCGCACATTTTTTTCCTCCCATGCTTGGCCTCCGTCGCTGTGAGCATCCTTCCTTGATTTACTTTCCATAAACATCTGCTTGCTTCTAGCGCCAGTTTCACTTGAATGTTGCAACTTCGGGGAGATGATGGTGAGGACGCCATCTGAGGACATGACGGAGGTAATAGCCTCCAGGTCGACACTGGGAGGAAGAGAGAAGCGTAGTAGGAAGGTCTGTGCGGCCACTGATGTTCCTTCTTCTTTATTGGCTCGTCCTTCAACCACAACTTCTTTACCTCCAACAACTTCAACCTTCACATCACCTCCAATAAAGTCATACACGTCGACGACAATCTGTTAAAAAAAAGATTCGTGACACAGACGAAATATATTGTTGTGTGTTAATGAAAACTTCCGGTGTGAATAAGACAAGAAGTAACAAATCCTTACATATTACATCCCTACCTTTAAGGACTGTTGATCTTCCTCTACACGGACGGCTTGATTCTCCTCTCTTAGATCGAGCTGTCGCAGATTCCGGTAGGTAGTGATGTCGTCGCATTGGAAGGATCCTCTTTTTGTCCTCTTCAGCACATCCTTGACAGCAGCCACATAATTTTCCCTGGCATCTTTGAAGAAGGAATCATTGAAGAAGGCTCCTTTCAAACTTATGGGCAAAGCTCTGTTTTCAAAGAGAGAACTTGATTTCAGACCTTGACGACGGTTGTATTGATTCACGTTTGACATATTCTTGTCTATGTTAATATTCATATTTTTATTGGCATTGGAACGAGTTTCCAACCTGCTGACTTGATGATCAGTCTCAGTTCCTTGGAGGTCGGGAGCGACTTCAGGTTTTACATCGGCCTTACTGACATTCTTCTCATTCACATTTTCTTCAGTAAGAATTTTGTTTACTGCCGAAACCTTTTGCTTCTCCTGAATGGAGAAAGATTTTTCTTCCTTAGTTTTCATGCTATTCTTATCAGATGTTTCAGTCTGAGATTCGTTTTCCTCAACTACATGAACTGGAATGACGTGCTCTCGCCCACGACCGACCTGTCAAATGTAAGCTTCGCTCTAATGATATGATAAAAACATTATGTAGTCATTTATCTTTGTATCATGAAAACTTACTATTATACTGCATGAAATTAAACAGAAAACTGCAGATGTAAGTTACCGTGGCTGAGGCAAGAGAAGAGTTGTGTTGAGTTGAAGATTCCTCATGTAAAGAAGCCTTAGTGTCAGCTGATGAGCCCGAGAAGAAATTTACAGTTGATGAATCAGAGGAATCATGGGCCTTGATGCTGACTGCCGGGGTCGGTTCTCGAGTCTGTGTTTCAACTCTTGTCTTCAATGAATCACTTGATGACTGGTTAAGACTTTCTGTTTCTTGGTTTCCTTCCTCTACGCTCATAGGCACAATAACTTCCTTGATATGAAGTGATTTAGGCTGAAAATATCGATAATATAACTTAGTGGTGTGAATTGGGATAATAGACATACTGCATATGGTAAGAAAATTCCTAAGCAAGTAATACCAAACTCTATTTACTTCCACGATTTTCATTTGTAAACAAATAGACAACTAACCTTCTTAGGCGCCGTGATAGTTAGGACACCATCTGCAGACATGACTGATGACACTGATTCTAAATGAATATCCCTTGGCACAACAAAACGACGAAGAAACTTCTTTGTGTACTTGGAACCAGCTTCTTCTTTCTCAACTCGACCCTCCACCATCAACTCTCTGTCGTTCACTGCCTTAACGGAGATGTCCCCACCAGTTGTAAAGTCCTGGACATCCACAAGAAACTGGAAAAAACGATGATTCAATTAACAAATTGAGGTCGTAAGTAAATAAACTTAATGATTTCATTGCCTTATCAATGTTCCACAATGCCTTTGATACATCAACTCACCTTATAATTGAACTCGTCCTGGGAAGACTTCACAGCCTGATTCTCGTCCCTCATGTCACGAGATCGTAGGCTCCTGTAGCTGGTCATGTCGTCGTTGGCAGAACACCCTTTACCCCACTTTGACACCACCTCCTTGACAGCTTCTTGAAAATCTTTCCATGCATCTTGGAAGAATGAATCATTGAAGAAGAGACCCCTTGTTGTGATGGGAAGAGCTGTCACCATGGGGATGTGCATTGCACTTGACTGAGAAGTAGACTGTTTCTCGTCAGAGTGCTGAGAGTGAGATGTACAATTCGATTGTGCAGAAACACTTGACAACTTCACATTCCCGTCATTTTGTGCTCTAGCGGTTCCTGTGGAATCGTTTGTGATTTGGTGACACTTTTTCTTTTGACATTCCTGAGCCTCACATTTATCTTCTTTCGTGTCAAACTTTTGTGAGATGCTGGATGAGGCAGAATTACCCGAGGCACCTTCAGAGACAGTGGTTTTAGTAATCTTTGCATCGGTAGGAGTATTTAAATCTCCCTGTATTGTGATAGGAATGGTGGTAGTGGTGTCCTTTATTTGGCTTACCTGTCAAATAAAGAAAAGTTAGACTCAAGGTGTTTTACTAATTCGACACGAAGCCGTAAATATTGCAATGAAAAGGCATTTAATTTTATTGTGAAATACTCACAGCAATCGGAATGGTGATGGTGAGAATGCCATCAGATGACATGACAGACGTAATGGCCTTCGTGTCAGTCAGGTCAGGCACAGAAAAGCGACGCCTGAAACTCTGGCAAGACAGAGAGAATTCACCATTGTTTGTCTTCATGCGTCCCTCCACTACCACTTCTGTTTCTCCGACAACCTTCACCTTGACCTCCCCGTCCATGAATTCATTAACGTCCATCACTATCTGCAATAGTAAAGACAACTCTCTTAATGTCACTGAATTTATTAAACCGAAATAAACATAAGAAATTAAAAAAATGAAGTGAGTAGTTTTCTTTCTTGCGGAGGGAGTTGTAAATTGCTGTTATAACCTAATCAAATCACATAAGTATTTTCTTCTGTCTATATTAATATGCATACGTAATATAAGGCAGTGAACATTTAAATAACGAGATATCTAGAAAAAGGAGTAGCCATAATGGAAATACTTCTTCGCAAAAATAAGTAGCCAATTAATTTGTTATATCTACCTTTCAGTAGCATTATAGGGGAATGATAATTTTCTTAGCTACTTATTGGTAATCTTCGAAGGCATCATAGTTCATTAATACCTACTGAATATTTATAAGTATGCCTGTGTATGAAAATCTGTTTTATCTTTCACATGCTTAAGTCTTTAACAGCATATAACTTACCTTATGACATGTACTGTCTGTGGTAACAGTGAAGGCTTGGTTCTCCTCCTTTAGATTTTTCGCTCTTAGCAGTCTGTAGCGACTGAGATTGTTGGATATAAGGAAGTTGGTGTCATCCCATCTGTCAGTGAGGACATCTGTCTCGCCCCACTTCCTCAGTATCTCGTTAACAGCATTTTGGAAATCATTTCTACTATTCTCAAAGAACGAGTCATTGAAGAACTGTCCCCGTCTAGTGATTGGTAGAAAACTGGACTTGGACAAGGGAACATTACGGATTTCTGTGGCTGTTGATGAAGATTTCTCGGTGTGAACTTCCGTGTCAGAATTGTTCTTCATTTCGTTATTGGTTTTGCACTGAGACTCTTGTTTAGATATTTCACCTAAATTACTGGAATGTTCACTTGAACTTTGAACTTCACTGGAATGAGAATTGCATTCGCTTTTAACCAGCGTTGAATTGATCTTAATAGGAACCTTTTGTGCTTCCTTTAGACGTGTGATGCTCTTTTCCTCTTCGTACTTTTGACAGCAACCTTTGCAGTCACATTCTTCATTTTGGTTCACAACAAACTGACCGTCGGTAGAGGAAGTCGAGGTGTTTGAAGCAGCCTGAGAAGACGAGGTGGTAGAGCTGTCAACAACTTGATCATTTACTTTTCCTTCAACTTGAATGGGAATAGTTGTGCATTCTTTTTTTATATCATTTACCTGTTGATAATAATTTAAATTATTGTTCAGATATTCATAGTATAAATTATCGTATCACCAAAAAGTTGGGACGAGTGTTTATTATGATTTTGTTGGAGTAATTTTGCCCTAATAATATAATTTTCTATGCACAGACGTCTAAGGCTAACAGTTTTTCCTATAAAGACATTCGCACACTGAGAAATACAACCATATATATATATATATATATATATATATATATATATATATATATATATATGTATATATATGTATATATATATATATCATATATAATTTCACCACGCCAACTTTTCAGTCATCGTGTACTTACTATTTTAGGAGCAGTAATTGTTAGTATACCATCAGAGGACAACACGGCAGTGACGGCCTCCATGTTGGTCATGTGTGGCAAGATGAACTGGCGTCTGAAACTGTGGGAGGACGCGGAGCTTCCGTTCTTTGTTTTCTCTACGTGACCCTCCACCAATACTTCTTTCTCCCCAACAATCTTCACCTTCACTTCCCCGTCCATGAAATCATGAACATCCACCACGATCTGTAAAAGTGTCAAGAATTTGATGAGTCTCTGAAAAAATTACCATGCTTAAATACACAAATATTCTCTTTTCTTAAAGGTTAGCATTTCTTTTCATATGACAGTTATAATTTACTGTACAGACCCCTGAAGATGTGAATTACACGAAAGCGCTTGGGAACTTAGTGTTTTCTTTTTCCTTGTGGTTATCAGCATATACCTGGATCACGCGCACCTTCAGTGATTTACTTGTATGTATTTATATATATATATATATATATATATATATATATATATATATATATATATATATATATATATATATAATTTTTTTTTTTTTTTTACCAAAGAATGCACCTCACCTTATGACAAGTGTTGTCGGAGGAGGCAGTAATGGCTAGGTTCTCTTCCTTCAGGTTTTGTGCCCGTAGCTGTCTGTAGCGACTGAGATTGTTAGATAACCGGAAACTGGTATCATCCAATTTGTCAGTGAGGAACTCTGTCTCGCCCCAGCTCCCAAGTACCTGCCGGAGGGCGTCTTCGAAGAGAGCATGTGCATGACCGAAGTGAGAATCTTGGAAGAAAAGTCCCCTTCGGCTGATAGGCAGGTAAGTATTCCATAAACTGTTCGTAGAAGAGTTACAGTGACAACTGGTCATGTTTGATGATGTGGAAGAGTTGTTGGAAAGTGAAGTCCGACTGCAGATGGGTGCCATGTTGCCTTTCACTTGATTTATTCTTGAAAAACTGTTTACGACTTAAAGTTTCGTTGGTGATCTACAGCGCTCAGTTGTGTACTGAGGGCAGAGCTATGAGCGTTGCCTTTATACCAGAGACACCCACCTACGACTCTGACGTGGGTGAGGTGTCACCTGGTTATTTTAGGGGCCGAGGCTGGTGCCAAGTTGCTGCACCCTGAACTTGATATTACTCACAGGCGTTTCTTTCATTCCGGAAATAGCATCATCTGTACTCTATCTATATATGTTTCTGTTGTATCTGTCTGTCTGTCTGTATAATACCTGTGAGCAGATTTTTACTTGTTTCCCATCTCAAGTTAATTACACTATTTCTGCCTAAAATTATACCACTGTCATTTTCATACAAATAGATAATGTAACTTCCCTCTGAGGTAAGTTTTGAGAACTTAAAGGCCACATAAGCTAAACCACTTTCCTCCCTATTCACCTGAATGAATAGTGTATTTTTCTTTAAAGGTGACACCCTATTTTCTTTCATTGTATTTTAATCAAGACCCAACAAGATAAAATCCAGAGCCATAGTTACCGAAAAAATTAAATCAAATGTTGCTATTACTTACTCAAGCATCTTACATACTTACATTTGTTTTAACTTGCATAATTATTCTAGTTTTACACACTGTGTGATCCGCGGGCAGCAGCTTACAGTAGTACCCGCGGGTCTCTTGGTTACCAATCACTCGTATATCTCTACCCTCAGCCCCTTCCTTATCCGGCTATTTCTACAGTACAGTATAATAAAACATCATTAAGGAATAAGTGTACTGTGTGCAAGCCTTCACGTGGCCGACACTCGCATTCCTAAACTAACCTAACGATGTGTGTACACCTAATCACAATGTGTTGACGAGGCTGCTCTCTTCTGTCGAGCATCCTTCCTCCCTGCAGCAATGTAGTAACGAGGCTATTCCTTCAGTAGACACTCCTTCTCAGTTACTCTCTCCTACTTCACTAGGAACCAATAAAACCGTCATCTTGACACCAACATTGTTTAGGCCTGATAGTTAGTATTTGATGAGTTGTACGACAGGGATAGAAAATTTGCCCCTTTTCCAGGAAACTATACAATAATAGTGAGTCTTCTTTGTGTTTTAGGTTAAAGTATAATGAAGTCCTTATATTGTATAATAACATAAGGTGCTATGCGTTAATACCCAAGTTAATAACTAACTAGAAGGGGAATACTTGCAACTGTGACAACAATATACTAAACAGTTTCACTCGATAAAAAATCGTTCCCAATGATCAAACTGAACACTGGTGTAGAATTATCTGAGATTTCAAACATTGAAGACGTTTAACGGACATTATTTTCAAAACAAAGACAGCAGTTTAACAAAAAACCTTGGAGCCACAGGAGTATATAAATGCTATAGGAAAAAAAATATTGGACCTCACATGCAAGAGTGGCTCTATTGGTTGCAGTGTGAGGCAGCATGAGTATGAGCTTAGGAGTTTTGCTAACGTGTTTAACCCAATGAGTACGAGGACCTCATACTCAGGGATTAAAGTTGTCATTGCGTCTATTTATTAATCTATGGAGAGAAAATCCTGTGACCGGAAAGGAAAAATAAACTCTATTATTTTCGCGATTCTCTCTGACTGAAGATTATGAATTTTATGTTGTATTAATAGATATGAATGAGAGTTTGGGTGTTTAGATAATTCTGGTGATACTGTGAGTGTTGCTCCAGTGTTTCATATTATATATATATATATATATATATATATATATATATATATATATATATATATATATATATATATATATATATATATATATATATATATAGGAAATATACATATATCTTTGAAAAAAAGAAACTACCAGGATGCAACATAAGAAAGAGATTTTTAACAATTACATTTATTAGGATTCTATCATAACACAACGCCATTTTTTATTTGTATAAGCCTCGACGTATCATCCTTTTCTATTTCAGCTAAAACACAACATTAATTAAATTTCCCAATCAATGGTATAATCATAGTATTAATATTAGTCCTATTGTCTATTCTTCCGTTTTACACTAACCCCACAGATCCTTTGGTGGACAATATCCCAGAAAACTTATCCTGGTCTCCCATAATACAAGATGCCATTAAAACGAATATCTAAAACACTGTTAAATACAAAGGTGATGCGTTGACTCACTGCTCTACTGAGTCGGACAATAACGGCACTTCCTCCACGGTTCTATATTTAAAGTACACTCGAATCTTAGGCATGGCGAGGGGCCGAAAACGGACCACGGTAGGATGATTCTCGAAAACTTGCGGCTAGTGTTTTAAGCTTTATAGTTTACTTTAGGACAGGATGAGTCACGATAAATATAAGTAATATTAAAGCAATTGTTAAGGTTTATACGATCTGTTGGCATCACTGGCATCAGCTACAAGGTGTGGCCACGGTCCTCTCCTTTTGGCTAATACACTAGTAATACCAAGTGATACTAATAGATAATCCAAAATGAGTACAGGTTACTGAAGTACTAACGTAACCTTAATGTCAAGAATATTGACTACAGAAGATCTGGTAGATAAGAGGAATTGTAGACAAGACTTAATGCATAATAACCAACAAATACTTTTACCAAAGACAAAAACTAATCTCTGAACACCGAGTAGAATTTACGTAGATATACTTAAAAAGAAAGACATTATGCATAAAAAGTATTTCTATTTGAATAAGGCAAATATTAAAAGAAAATATGCCTCTGAAACCCAGGCAGTTGTAGAATCACTCTAATAAATAAGCCCAACCATATGAATACTATAAAAAAAAAATAAGCAATTTCTTTAGCATGAGTAGGCTTTAAAAATATGCTTGAATTGTAAGTCGTCAGGATATGAATAGGCGTGATAAAGAGGAGGTGGTGGTGCCGTCACTCTTGGGTGAGGAAGCAGCACCAGGAGGGACGTGAGTTAGTTGGTATTCTGGTCGTGTGGGATTAACCACTTGGCGCCCGTCGTCCCATCTTACGCTGTTACGCAATATAACTGTGACTACCACGATACATTCTCTTCATGACCCTTCTGGAACAAATGGATTACACACATATAACCTTGTTTCGGACATAGGACTTTTGGGGTTACAGGGGTTTTGATGATGATGAGAAGTATGATGAGCTAAATGATGGCTGTACGTGAGTTGATTTATGTGGCAAGGCAGGAGTGCAAGCTGCAACCACACATCTTGGCTTTCCATTTTCCTGATCCAGTGGTGCAACGACTGGGGAGAGGGAGAGTTGCGATGGACTGCCGATAGCCCAGTTTGTTGGGTTTTGCCTTAGTAGCCTGTCCATCATGCATTGCCTTCGTCTGCCGGTGTAATCGTTGGGTTCCCATGGTGGTCACCTCTTCCGCCTATACCGCCCTTGGGTTCTTCTTGGAGCTCTGTAAGCATGGCTGCCTGGTGCGGGACACCACCTGCAGATTTTTCGTTCGGGGTTTACTCCTGTAGCGCGATACCTACCAAGGTTAGTCCACAAGGCGGCGGGGCAGTGGTTGGTACTAGGCGCCAGGACCAGTCCACATGCCAGTGGGTCTATGCGCCGTCCCTCTGGGGTGCACTACTGCTCCGAGACCCCCTACTGGTCTAGCCTCGGCCCACGAGGCACCCAATTACCGTGTGTTGCCACGAGGAGGCATAGCAGGAGTTTTGATGGTGAAGAGACTGTGTACTGGCAGGGGAGGACTTATGCAGATTGTTTCCCTGTTCGTCACGAGGGCTAGCCAGCAGCGGTAGCAGAAAGCGAGAGGAAGAAAGCAGTGCTTGCACCTTAACACTAACATAATGCTGCCATACTAGATGCAGTACACTACCCTGTGTTCACACACACACACACACACACACACTGTATATATCATATAGGTCCATCTATTATCTCCTATTATCATGCTTCATACTGGACAGGTATTGTCGAGACCCTTGCTTGCTCTTACTGTTGTCGAGTCAGTGTGTCAGGATTTGTAGATTACTTTCTGGCATTTTAATCACAAGGAGGGCAGAGAGCTCACCTGAGGATTTAATTGAGCTGCCCACCATTATATGGACGTGACAGCTGACATTAAAGGTTAAGGAAAGGGAGAACAACGTATTAACCAAGTAATCGTGTAGAGGACCAGCTTACCGAGGAACTAATAATACTAACCTAGGGCCGGAAAGATGAGCTTAAGATGAAAGGAATGTTCCTATAGTGTAGAGGAAGAAACCGTGTCATGTTACCATTAGCTCTTTTAATGAGATATAATTTTTATGATTACCTCCAGTAACAAACTAGTGTGATAATTATTCATTCAGGAGTTGAGTTCCAAAAGAGATTTTGAGAAGAATGATCCAGTTTACTCTGTGGTGATGTGTGTGAGGAGAAAGTGGTCATGACAGGGCTCACTGGGCATGCGTCATTATTACTATTAACAGAAAATAATCTATACTAATGCTTTTCTCTTCATCTGAAAATTATTATTTTGTCACAATTTCTCAGATCCTTGTGAAATACAGAACATGATTTTTGGAATAAACTTATGTTTGGTAATAAAACCCATCAATCACTTTGTTTAAGTATTTACTTATCAATTGATTTATGTCACTGAATATATTTATGTAATTTTTTTCATTTAATCATGTACAGTTACGGTAGTTCACAAAATTGCATTCGGACAATAACCCTAACCAGAGACCTTCCCTTATGATTGATTGAAACACGCAGGGTATTTTAGGAATCTTTAGTCAGGTTTGTAACATATCCCATAATGTCACCCCGGCCAGTGATCTGCAGCTTCCCTTCAGCACGAGTATCTGAAGGAGGCCCCGAAGTCTTTGGTGTGCTGGTGAGTCCACTGGTCAATCTTGGCCTGCTGCTCCGGGCTGAGACGCTTCTTTCCGTCCCCGACCTCCCCTGGTGGACACACACCGAACTTATTATCACCGTAAACAAACACCGGTTTATTAATAATTGTAATATTCTATCAACGATATATGGTTTTAAAAGCAAAATTGGGACCTGTAGGGCCGAAGAACAGCTAAGGGCACTGCGGATACAGCACTTTGTAAACTTAGCCTTTTCTCAGCCCAGAGGCGATTGCGTAATCGACATTCACTCGACTGGTTTCGCTTTCCTAGTTGTAAAGTTAGACATCCATTTACAACTGGGTGGACTAGGAGTTCTTCCGGATCGAACTACCCACCCTTAGGACAGGAGGCGAGGGCCGTATCCACTCGATGGCCGCCTCACCCTTAATTCATGCTTGTAACATTTGGAAAATAACAAAGAATTCGTCTGGACTTCAGTTCACAGAGAATGATGAGCAAATTCACTTCTCCATGACTGATTTTTTTTATATCACCTGATCCTTATCCATGATAACCTCCCACTTTAATTATTGCCTCAGTACAAACCTGGAATTTGTCAAAAGGTAGCGAGGCCACTGAAACAGATCTGGAAAGTGTTTACATTTCGTCCAAGTTCTATTTCTCGCAGTTTAATCGTTATGATCTTCCTTCCCATTGACTGTGATAGACTTGAGAGGATATCCAAAAAAGACTAATACTAGCGTTTTTCAAGACCGGTTCACTGCAACTGTTCAAATGTTTCTTGTGTTAGAGTACAAAACTTGCCAAATTATCAAAGAGGGAGGTACTACCGCCTGGGAACATATTGGAAGCATAATGTATCGTCTAATTAGTAGACCCTGCTGCCAAATAGCATCACGAAAATTGCGACCAAGTCCCAGGTTGCTAATCTAACTTTCTGCCTCATTTACACACAATTGCAGGGTTTCTCTTACTTTGACAACGCAACATACATATATCGTTTCTCACTTTTGATATATATATTTTTTTTTACTTTATACTGTATTTCTTTATTATTATTATTATTATTATTATTATTATTATTATTATTATTATTATTATTGTTTTTGTATTTTTTATTATAAGTTATATGTATTATGGTATTATGGTATTATTATTATTACATGTTCGTCCCCCATGCTCGATGTGGGTTAGTGACCTGTGCCCGGATGGGCTAATCCCTGTAAAAAAAAAATCTATTAACTGACCTTTCCTGAAGTGTCCGCCATCAGCCTTAACAACGTCCTGGTTGAAGAATGGGTCAAGTTCTGGTTTGTCATCCTCCTCCGCCCGGGCCTTCATTACGCTGAAACTGGTGTATTTGGCCACCTATGTGTGACACTTTGTGAGACTTATTTACCTTATTTACCTAATGGCCAACCACTAGAGGTGGCCATGCTGAAGGAAAGTGGCCAGTGACCTTATGATCCCCCATTTTTTCTGATAATTAACCATGTTGTGTCTTACAGATTCCTCAAATGTCTTAATATGAGTGACGTTACAAGAGAAAAGATAAAATGTTTGGCATCATGAGATATAGTGAGCAGGAAAGCTAATCGATTGCAAGAAGATGAGGGACTTGTATCACACACTACACTTACCTCTGACAATTGCTCCTCCGTCAGGTTCGTGTTCAAAAATTTGTTGAGTTTCTGAAGTTCGACCATGTTGTTGGTTTTGACGTCCTCATAAAAGACGAAGTGCATGTTAGGGTGGTCACGCTTCTCCCAGGCCTCTTTCATGTGTAGCCAATAAGGCCCATACAGCACTGTTAACATAAATAATACGATCAACAGTTTGTCATACACTTTTGAATGTTTTGTAAATCCTAACCAAATTTCTAATAAGAAGTATAACAAGTTAACGTTAATACTCACTGAACATAGGCTACTACAGTCACTTTATTAATTTACGGCACAGTACCGAAACACATTATCCGACCCTCAACACTTACAGTCGTCGTCAACGAAGTACTGAGTGAACTGGTCGAGGGAGCCATTGAAGTCGTGGCATAGGATGAGTCGTGAGTGATGGTAGTAGGAGACGACAACGTCCTTGGGGCTCCTCGCCACGTAGACCACCTTCACCGTCAGGCACAGTAAGAGGGGAAGGGGGAGGAGGAAGTATGAGACTTTCTTTACGATGTATCAAAGACAAAAGTCGTGTCGCGGTTTTATCCGAATGTTAAATATAACTCCTGAAACATTATGAGAGCCCCTACCACAAGGCAGAGCGCACCAAAAGTTTTAGCCCTTCGGCATATGTTTTCACCAAATTTCACTACACGATTTTTGTCTTTCATTGTACAAGGAGAAACAAACTATCAAAATAACTTTCAGGTGCTCGTGTTAGTTTCCCATATTACAGCAGCAATTTGGATCTCTTTTGACTGTTATATATTGTTTCTTCTGAAATGTATTGGTATCCAAGGGATAATGTCGTCCATTTTTACTGAAGAAGTCCGAAAATCACAACTTTTGAAAGTTTGTAACTACCTGATCACATATTAAATAGTATTACACCAAGGAGTCTGGTGAGACACCTTAAATTTAGTCTTACCCTAACGTATTAGTTTACTCTCCCCTTGTCTATCTAACCCGGACTGTCACTGTACATCTTCCTCACCTTAGCAGTGTCGAGGAGATCTGGTGTGAGGAGGGAAAAGGGGAGATGAGTCTTGATGGTACGAGGGTCAGGGGTCGCCTCCGACATCTGCAGTAGTAAGCCGTCTTTGGGGTCTTTACCTGGACACTGTTTATTGAAGGCTTCTAGAAAGAAGCTGTCATTTATGGAAGAAAGCTTCTTATTCTCCATCAGCATGTCACAACTGGGTAAATAAAATCAAGCATAGACTCATTTGTATATGAATGTATTTGAATTTGTTAACTGCCCTAGCTTTAAATGTGTAACAATACAAAAATTATTGCAAAAATGCTAACACTGCATTTTCTCAATGTTTGCTTCTTGGAAATATGCAAACAAAATTTAAATTTCAGTCTTTCATAATTGACATTCATTTCTATGAAAATTTTCCACCCAGAGGTGTGGGGAAGCTCTCTCCTCGTCTTGGATAACCATTTAACATGAACAGTGATATAAATAGTGACTCACTCCAGAAAGGGCGCGCGGGCGTTGACCCCCATCTTGGCCAGAGGATGATCAAGATTCGGGTTGTTCCTCATTGTCCAGATGATCTCCTGCATCCACGTCGTGCCAGCCTTGGGCCACGTCATCACCACCACGTCACTCGTACGAAACTTATTAAAAATATTAATGATTTGTTGTTGTTTAGGAAACAAAATCCCAATGCCAGTTAATTATCAAAGCATAGTGTTTCATATGTCTATGTAGTTTCGTAATATTAAGAGGTAAATAGTATATTCGTTTCGTATTAGTCGCAGCTGTACGTTTTCCAATTTTCTATGTACTGTACAGTAGTCACTATTTAATCACTTTATTCACTGCTGGATGTCATCACATTATCCGGCAGTTTAGGTTCTCACAGAAAGATCAAAGTTGGAGACTAGTGACTTGGTAGGCCCTTTAGCATCAGAGTGCCTAAGAGTGACACACCACTTTCAGAGGAAGATGAAAAGGGAATAAAAAGTGTAGAAGAATCACTGCTGGAAGAAATGCAGCGCCTTTTATGTTGCTTGGGTAGTGTTGCACCACGCGGCCGGTTACAACTCGGCAACTCAGACTGAGTCCGACTTGGCGGTAAATCCGACTCAGAGAAGTCCAACTTAGAGAAATTTGATTGTATACAGTATATAAAATTTCTGGATTATAATTAATTGAATTGAAAAAAAATATTTTATTTTGGTAGATGTCTTTCTCTCTTCCCCCGGTAGCCACCTCTCACGCAAATATGAATAACAAAGTGTGTGGCCAGGCACATACCCAAACACCGCTGTACTCACGCAGTTGTGAATAAGTCACCCTGTATGTACAGAACTAAACAAAGAATGTATTTTAAATTCTCGATAACATTCAATGCCATAATATCCTGACCACTGGAACTGTTATACACACCTTTTGTGACCTCCACTCTGTATTCCTTTTGCGCTACCGCTTACGCTTACAGGATGAGTGTGGAGTGCACAATAAACTAGCCCCTGTAAGTGGCAAATTTAATGAATTAAATAACATTGAGACATGAAATCAAGGAAGTCATATTTATCTTGTTCTATTCAGTGCTCCTGTTATATTTTGAATAATTTCACCAGTTTGGGATTGTCAGGGAATAATAGGTAATATATTTGTGAACGGAGGAAGAGCACCATTATCGAATTTAGATGAACAATTTCAAATTAGTGTATGTTGTTCTGAGGACCGTACTGTACCATCGCCTGTATTTTGTTTACTTTATTTTAAATGTGATTACTGTTGATTATAAAATCTTTGATAGCCTGATAAGTTGTAGAATTAATGAATGGTTTCCTTGGATGTACTTCACAAAGTGGAATTCTATTAATGTCATCTTTGACTGTCAGCTGTTATTTCAGAGTGTGTCTGATTAATGAGCCTAGGGGTTAAGGAGCTGCTGAGAAGAGGTTTATCAATAGTGGCTGTGACAGTAGCATCATAGTATAATAACAGTTAACGTCACGAACAATCTCCAAAGTAAACAATGTCCCCTAAGTTGTAGCAACCTTCCTCTTACCCACAAGGCCACAGAGAATGCCATCCCCTTCCCTCCTTCAGGGCACACAGGAGCCCAATGTCCATTTTAATACAAATAGAGATAAGGCTTGTGGCCTACCTCACTGAAGATGACAAGGGACGTTATGTTCTTCCGCCTCTGTCACTGCCACAGAAACACACATCTGATTATCTTGTACTGTTGGACTATCTTACCTTAAACTTGTACAAGTTGTCAGCAAACTTTGTGTAGTCGACCGGAAAGAGCCACCTGCCGGGGTTGAGACGAACCAAACCTTTATCGTAACCTTCAAAGTCACGCTGCTGCCGCTCCAGCTCCTCCCCCTGCAGTGTTTCCACCACTTGACCACTCATCAGAGCCATCCTATACCTGTAAAAGAAATTATAAAACGGTGATAGGAACCCTTTGACGTAAACCTTAAATTCAGAGTCATCAGCGTTTGCAAGGAAATATTCAGGTGGTGGAATATATATTCGTATATCTATATACAAAAGACATTGGTATATTAATATTAAGTAACACGCCACGAGTAACCTTGTATTACTCATATTGTTGCCATGTGCATTGTGTACAGTAAGACGGCCCCACCACTCCTTCCATCATTGTGCACATTTTTATTAGTAAAGATAGAGAAAACGCGCTTCACTGTTTTAACACCCTGTTGACGACTCGGAAATCCAAAAATATAATTAAAAGCCAGCGACCGAGAAGATACCGCCTTCAACTCCTGTCATAAGGATCATCATTTACCTAAATTTATTGGTGGAAAAGTGAAGGCCATCAAATTCAGTGTTGGTCACGCTGCTATCTGGTGTACTAAAGTCTTACTAATGCAGATTTCTGTATCCGCGCTGTTATTATCGAGCTGTCGGGTGTACAGTATGTGACTTACTTTCACTCCACTCCGCCGTACTGCACCACTGAGCTTGTCACCACAAGACATAGTGGTCTTTACCATCTACAACTAAACAGACTGAATATTTTATCTTTCTTATAAATAACATAATCATGATTGCACACTATAAACCTTATACATTAAGACACATTAGGGTAATAAAGAAGTTAATGAGAACATTACACTTCCCATTGAACACGTGAGCGTTGTTCAAGTCGGACTCACACTGACTAACAAAGTCCCTCTGAAGGATAAGTCTCGACAGTTGCAGTAACGTAATTATGAGTATTTTTGTTTTGTTTCACTGTCTAAGAGTATTATAACCTATGTCAATGTTTCCATAAGACCATGTGTAGATTTTTTTTAATGATTCTTTTTTTATATTTTAAGAAATAGCAACATTAGACTCACCTTTTAATATCAATTGTTGATATTATTTCCTGCTAAAGCAATATATATTCCTTCTCTAGTCAGGTATTCCGTTGGAAAGTGACGCAAACTTAAAAAATCAGATTACTTTTCTTCTCTGTTAAAACTCGAGAGAGGATTACTGGCAAACAACGCAACACAACACTGCCAGAACCAACTTGATAGCCGCCCTCTTCCTGACGCAATTGCTCGCTTTACACTGAGTCAGCGACGAGTTACCTCATCCTGCCTGGCGGTGGTGGTGGCGGATGAAGGAAAACCCCAATCTATGACAACCCTGATACAACAACGCGCCGGAGCTGAGCTGTATACACGGACGGGGCAGTATCGTCATTACGTAGCAAATCGATTCTCAAAAGATAAAACAACTTCAGGTAATTATATGAAGAGTCACAGAGCCGGTCACGGTAAGGAATGTGTTCGTCTTAAACTTGGAGTGGAGAATTGATAAGCGTCAACAATGTAAGTCCGTTTTTGCTTTGTGGCGCCCAATCAGATACTGTACAAGCACACGATTTTTTTTGTCCAGTATAATACTCCTCAACTATTAGAAAAAATATATATAAATATAAATATATATATATATATATATATATATATATATATATATATATATATATATATATATATATATATATATATATATATATATATATATATATATATATATATATATATATACAAGTAAATCACTGTAGGTGCGCGTGATCTAGGTATATGCTGATAACCACAAGGAAAGAAGAAAACACGAAGTTCCCAAGCGCTTTCATGTAATTCACATCTTCAGGGGTGAGTACAGACTAAAGAGAAGTACAAAACAAGGTGTATATATACAGAGGGGGGTGAGATCAGGTCCACAATGGTCAGGTATTAGGTAATGACCCTACTAACCTTTAAATAGCACCGCAACGGTCGGTAGTCAGGTCAGAGGGTAAGGTGACCCAACCTTCTCACCTGGTTACAAATCTTCTTGATTACAAAATTGTCCAGTTTGTACATGCCAGTACTCAAATTCACGTTGAATGCTTCGGTATGTTTAATGACACTAGATTCTATGATGTTCCTACTATCAATTGAATTACAAGGTAATATTGAGGAGGCACTATCCCAGTCAATGCAATGCTTGATATCCCTCAAATGGACAAACAGAGCATTGGATTCCTGGCCTGTCCTAACACTATATTTATGTTGTTTAAGTCTAGTTACAAGATCTTTACCTGTCTGGCCTAAGTAAAACATATTACATTCCTTGCAAGGAACTTTATAAATGCAACCAATTGTGTTGTCGGGGGAGTTCTTGATCTCACCCTCCTCTGTATATGTACATGTACACCTTGTTTTGTACTTCTCTTTAGTCTGTACTCACCCCTGAAGATGTGAATTACATGAAAGCGCTTGGGAATTTCGTGTTTTCTTCTTTCCTGTGGTTATCAGCATATATCAGCACGTGATCCAGGCATATGCTGATAACCACAAGGAAAAAAAAAAAGTTCCCAAGCGCTTTCGTGAAATTCACCTGATATATATATATATATATATATATATATATATATATATATATATATATATATATATATATATATATATATATATATATATACAGCAATGAGTATCAGTAATAAGGTTTTAATCGACAAATTCTATTATACATTATGACGCGGCTGTATACTCAATGTTTGAAGCTGTCAAGGTAAGAGAGGATAAGATACAATCTGTTGATGATTATTTTATAAGAATAGGGAAGATTTGTTTTTAGATTAGATAAAGTGATAAGTGGACTGTTAATGCCTTTATCTGCTGCAGGCTTGTGAGCATCTGTATAGGTAAAGTTCCATGAGGTGAATAAAAATGACCTAACCTCCCTAACTTGAGCTGTGTTCTCAACTGGCTCAGCCATGTTAATATTGTTATTATTATCCACACTGTATCTGTGTTTTTCTGGCTGAATAAACTGTTTCAATTCAATTCAATTCAAAACCATTATTGTCATTCCTCAAAAATTTTGTCCACCATTCATTACAAATTACAATGCAGTGGCGGACTCCATGGACATAAGGTGCTCTTGGCATTTCCAAATCATGCAGTCGCAAAGTTGTCTCATTGTCCTCTTATGGACAATTTGATTTATATTTTGTGTCCAATCGCAGAATATACATAATTATGGGAAGTGTTTTTTCACTCAAATTCTATCAATTCTTGGGTCCCTAAGGATTCCTAACTTATTATTGTTATTAGTATTATTACTATTATTATTATTATTATTATTATGAGAGAGAGAGAGAGAGAGAGAGAGAGAGAGAGAGAGAGCCAAGTTCTCTCTTTCACCAATATAAATGAAAATGGTTTAAAAGCGTGCATTTCAGGGGTAATAGTAGTAGGAATTAATGTGGTAGAATACACGTTATAGTTACCTTTTCATTTAAATGGGACTATGTGAAGGAGTGAAAGATGAAGGGAACCGAACTAGCAGATAAACGCAATAGTGTAAACCATCCCAAAACCGAAACTTATCCCTGTTGTTAATGATATGTGAAAAAAGGTGTGAGGTGTCACTGTCAGGTAGTGAAACTTGGTAATATTAATTTATGTTCATGACCGTAAGAAGTGTTGAACATTTATTTCAGGATGTTAATATTACTACTGTGTATCTGGCAGAATTGTTTTAAATATTTTTTGTCTTGCACAGCTGGCTTTAATAGCTGAAAGAAGTGGATGGCAAAGTTGAGGGTGGTAGTCGAATACTACCCTGCCCTTTTGATGTAATAATTCTATTGTCAATAAAGTATTTCAATTTCGGTGTGTGGAAATGGTGTTCTCTCTCTCTTGTCACTGATAGGAAAATTACGTCAATTTTTTTTCATATTTATTGCCGAGGTTCGTCACCATTTATCACGTGATCACCATTATATGAGCTATATTCGAACTGTGCTTCGAGCTAGAGATGGTTCAGTGTATCGGTGTAGTAGAAGCGAGGGTGAACCTTGGAGGGAGGCGACGAGGGGTGGGGACGTAACAATTGGCCTACATTTGCCCATCCTACCCAGACACACACACACGGACCCACTTCGTCAAGGTCACCGGCATCACATCCAACAAGCAAGATCCACGTCACACGTCCGCTGTTCTTCACATTTGACCCAGTTAAGTAATTTTTATCAACCAGTAGTTTATTTACACACCTGCGTTAATACTCTTTGTCTTTATCAGGTTATTAAGTAATGTAATAAGGATTACTGGGACAAAACATCTTTTAATAACATTAACCAACCCTGGGGACTGACCGCCGCCATGTTGTATATGTTTAGGTCGAACATGAAACTTCATATTTTTATTTACAGTATATAGGGTAAAAGAGCAAAACAATGAGTAGGACTGGAGCAGGTGGCTAACACCAGGAGGAGCAGTTCGATTTCGTTCATTTTTCCATAGATGTTCTTTGGGTGGTAGTAAGTAATAAAAACTACACGAGACCTGTAGTGGGCAGGGTATGAAGAAAATTGCAGGGTAAAACACGGTGAAAAACTATTATCATGTAACACTAAAATGATGCCTCTACGTGCTTTGTAATGGATTAAATTAATTATTTATCGTAAATATTCCTCCGAAATATCTGCCGTTGTCGGCGGGTGTTGTCATCTGACATGTTTGTTTACAATCGACCCCTTCGGTCCGAGTGTACTCACGTCCGCAAAAAAAATAAAAAATAAATAAATAAAATTACACCATGATGCTTTAATAAAGTTGCTTTCTTGGTAAAAAAAAATCGCTTTAGGACCAACACAAAAACTACCAACAAAAAGGGTTTTCCTTGATCATTCCTGTATTTACCTAACCTAATGTAACTTAACCCAACAAAGCTAACTCAGTCACAAAACCAGGATCTATATCTAACCTGGACTGTTTCGAGTACTGCTGCTTCCTGGGGGGCAGGATCAGTGATTATACTGTATTCACACCAGGGGCATACAGTATATACCCAGTATCTGCCCCATGGAACGGGGAGAAAACAGCTGTCAGTTAAGGGTTTTCTATCCTTGTCGAGAAAATAAAATTCTCTATTTGTAACCACACATTTGGCAACCTAGGTTTAGAGTTGACCTTCTCGTGGTAGAGATATTATCTGTATAAAGTTTGTTCTTATCTTATCTGCGCCACCTGATTCCCATCGAGGCTCGAGGCCTTATCACTCATTTTCTCAATTAACCTTCTAATCATGTTATAACCTCCTTCCTCTGTTCTGTTTTCAAACTTTGTACCTGTGCATCTGTTTTTAAATCTAGTGAAATAATAGTAAATATCTGTACTATATACGAGTACCATTACTAGTAGAAGAGGTGCGAACATTAGCCTGGTGTATACAGTATATCCTTAAGAGTATAATTGAAGGGCGGAATGTTTGTACAAAGTCAAGTGCTATTGGTTGCTGGTGCTAGTAGTGTAATAAATAATAATAATAATAATAATAATATTAATAATAATAATAATAATAATAATAATAATATTAATATTATTAATAATAATAATAATAATAATTAACGGTTTATTGAAAGAGCTTGGCAGCCAGAAGGCTGAAAATATACAGTTACATATTTGGGGAATGGGTTTCGAATTACAAATAATATACAAGTCACATAAGTGATACAAATAAGATATATAATAACTAGATGGGGAAAAGCTCAAACTACAGTGCATTTCAACATAGTGACAGTGCAAGAAGTAGTGTTTACTGGGAGTGAATACACTGGTTTATTACAAGTTATTGATAAGGTAGGTGTGTTAGTGCAGCATACACTGTTAATAAGAAACAATGAGGTCAATAGTATTTCCTCCCTACACACTGACAGGTGACTTTTATAATGTTTGAGGCTCCTCGGGTGTCAATATCTGTCTGTCTCTCATACAGTCGTTGATTGACAACCTTTACCCACAACTGGCAGATATAATTTTTCCTTCTAGCATAATATTCATTCTACCTTCTCCGAATTATTACTCCTTCTTCCGTCTTTAATAGGTAATATTATTTTTGCCTTCTGTAACAAATAATATTCCCTCTACCTCCCCAGGATTATAAATACATTAATATTTTTATTTTTAGTAGTCAATAATTTTATCAAATTACAATTGTTCATGACAAGTGAAATTTAAGAAACAAAACTGAAGCCAAGGATCAGAAGTTGTTGAAGGAAACAAGGAAGCTGTAAATGATTCAAATGGTCTTGCACATTTTTTTGGCCGGGTTCAGGATGATGTTGAAACTGATAACGACAACAAAATCTAGTCAGGATTATAACATATACCCTGATGTCTCCCAGTCGAGCGAGCTGCAGCTTCCCTTCAGCACGTGTATCTGAAAGAGGCACCGAAGTCTTTGGTGTGCTGGTGAGTCCATTGGTCAATCTTGGCCTGCTGCTCCGGGCTGAGGCGCTGCTTCCCGTCCCCGACCTCCCCTGGTGGACACACACCGAACTTATTATTATCTGGTCACCGTAAACCAACTCACCGCTTTATTATTTACTTAGATGTTGTGTCAATCGACTCAAGGTTGCACTATCACGACTAGATGTTCACTAATCTCTGCAGCCATTTCATGTATCATGTCTTTCCTCTGGTCAACCTCACGTGATCAGTTGTATCAGACAAACATCAAACATAGATCTAATATTGTAGTGCGTCAATATAATGTATGACTATAAGGAGCCTAAAGATTGCACTCGTAACTGGACACATTTACCCAAGATATAAAAAGAAAATTATTGCACTCAACAGTGAAGTCTGCTTCTGTGTGTATTAAATCGGATTCATTATTTTATTTCAGAATGTCAGAGATACATAATAACGGGGAAGAAAATCCTCTCTAGGGGCACTGGAGTGTGTCCCTCCCCGCATCCTGGCAGGAAATTGGTAAATATTGTGCTGTCAGACGCAACCTCCTACATTAAGACAATTATCGATGTAAGGATAAAATTACGTGGAGCTCACCTGATAGTTGAAATAAAAGGAATATTTAGTGAGACAATATTCCCTTAGGAAGATATAATTCCTGACTTACATCATCAAACTCCACACACTGTTGGTTAAGTTACTTTGTTGTAGCGACAGCCTTATGATGCAGCTCAGTGTCCATCTCACTCAAGCATAGTATGACCTGTGTTGTTGTTTTTCTTATGTATCAATTAAGTTGCCAATTTTATATTCGATAGTCGTCAAAAACTTAGGCAATACAGACCTATTACGGCTTAGTTTTCTTAATCGTATTCAGTTGTCACTACATGTTTGACAGCCACAGTTTCTGGATATTCCCTCTACTCGTTCATAATTCCATTTTGGATCTGTCCAAGCTTTATCCATGTTCATTACCGTCATATAAACACTTGAGCACAATCGACTCATTTGTGATGAAGCAAAAAAAAACCGCTTTGTTTCTGGAGACATCAGCATGTGACCGTAAGAGAACACTGACAACAGATATAACGGATAAACAAAGGAATAACTTCATATGATTATATGACAGTATATACAGGGTGTTCATAAGAGATATGAACGATTTGAATCTTTAATATTTTCAATACTAATTAAGGTATAAAGCTAGAACCACCTTTAAACGACAGAACAACTATTAAGTTTGTTATTAATCTGTTCGCTTGATTACTGACTGATTGATTGCCAACTGATGCGGTCTGAGGGTACCGTGACATCAATTACCTATTTTAACTTGCTGGAGCAATTTGTGCTTCCACAGTTACAAATACTGTATTGCAGCCGGACATATTCTTGCAGCAAGATGGAGCGGCTCCACATTGGGCTCTGGATGTGAGGGACAAATCCTTTGGCCTCCAAGATCACCGGACATTATGCCATTGGATTTCTTCCTCTGAGGTTTTGTTAAGAGATGTTGTGTACAAGACCAAGGTTGCCACCATCCATGAACTACGAATCAGGGTCAGGGAGACAATAGCGATGGTTGATGCTGGCATGCTTGAACGCGCATGACGAGGTAATTGATAATTATCGATTGGATATTTTACGGGCGACCAATGGCGCACATGTTGAAGTGTATTAAACATGTATGAAAAACTTTATTGTTGCTCGATTGCTTACACATAATTTTAACTTCATATCTTAATTTGTATGGAAAAGTCAAAATAACATAAATTTCATACAAACTAACCTTTCCTGAAGAAGCCGCCGTCATTCTTGAGAACATTTTCGTTGAAGAATGTTTCACCCAGATTTACAAATTCCTCATCACCTCGGGCCTGCATCTCGCTGAAACTGGTGTATTTGGCTACCTGTGGGTCACACTTTGTGAGACTTGTTTATCTTATTTACCAAATGGCCACCCATTAGAGGTGGCCATGACATTGTTCTTGATAATGAACCATGTTGTACCTCACAAAAGAAAAGATAAGATAAAATCGTTGGCATCATGATATACAGTATAGAGAAAAAGATAGCTAATCGATTGAAAGAAGACGAGGGACTAGAAACACACTACACTTACCCCTGACAATTGCTCCTCCGTCAGGTTCGTGTTCAAAAATTTGTTGAGTTTCTGAAGTTCGACCATGTTGTTGGTTTTGACGTCCTCATAAAAGATGAAGTGCATGTTAGGGTGGTCACGCTTCTCCCAGGCCTCTTTCATGTGTAGCCAATACGGCCCAAACACCACTGTCAACATAAATAATACGTACTCATGTCTACACTTTGTCATACACTATTGAATGTTTTCTAAATCCAAACCAAATTTCTAATAAGAAGTATAACAAGGTAACGTTAATGCTCACTGAACATAGGCTACTACAGTCACTTTATTAATTTACGGCACAGTACCGAAACACATTATCCGACCCTCAACACTTACAGTCGTCGTCAAAGAAGTACTGAGTGAATTGGTCGAGGGAGCCATTGAAGTCGTGGCAAAGGATGAGTCGTGAGTGATGGTAGTAGGAAACGACAACGTCCTTGGGGCTCCTCGCCACGTAGACCACCTTCACCGTCAGGCACAGTAAGAGGGGAAGGGGGAGGAGGAAGTATGAGACTTTCTTTACGATGTATCAAAGACAAAAGTCGTGTCGCGGTTTTATCCGAATATTAAATATAACTCGTGAAACATTATGAGAACCCCTACCACAAGGCAGAGCGCACCAAAAGTTTTAGCCCTTCGGTATAGGTTTTCACCAAATTTCACTACACGACGTTTTGTCTTTCATTGTACAGTAGCTAAAACAACTATCTGTGCAGGTGGGGGTCGATGTGCTCCGAATTTTTACGTGTGACAAGTGACGGTCCTCATATACCAAAATCCATCGTCCATGGTCTCATTTTGTTCCCCACAAAGTATGCACAGATAGTTGTTTTAGCTACTGTTCAAGGAGAAACAAACTTTCAAAATAACTCTCAAGTACTCCTGTTAGTTTCACCATATCACAGCAGCAAATTACACTCGAAGAGTCTGGTGAGACGCCTAAATAAATTCAGACTTACCCTAACCCGAACGTATTAGTTTACTCTCCCCTTGTCTATCTTAACCCGGACTGTCACTGTACTTCTTCCTCACCTTAGCAGTGTCGAGGAGATCTGGTGTGTGGAGGGAAAAGGGGAGATGAGTCTTGATGGTACGAGGGTCAGGGGCCGCCTCCGACATCTGCAGTGTTAAGCCGTCTTTGGGGTCTTTACCTGGACACTGTTTCCTGAAGGTGTCCATGAAGGAGGCGTTATCTTCCAGGGGAGTAAGTTTTTTACTCCCCAGTAGCATATCAAATCTGGGTATATGTAATAAATTTTAGACTCATTCGTGTTTGAAATTTCTGAATTTGCTGATTAATCACAAAATTAGAAGTTAAATATTAAAAATTTGTATTCTTACAAAACTGTCTTAATTTTGCACGAAGAACAATGTTTATTTCCTTCTTGTCGTTATCTGATTTCTTATTTCTTCTCACACTGGAAATACGTTAAATTTTTGCCATTACTGCAAATTTACGGATCAAAGGGATTCAGAAAATGTATGGGTTCAGGGGGTCATTTCCCTTCATTTGGGAGGATTCAAGCTGACAAATATTCCTACTGGTGTTCTCTTTAGTGATTGGGGGAGGTGGTGGTGGTAAGCAGACAGACAGCTATGATAAGTGATGACACTATCCCTGTATCCTTATGGTCCTGTAAGTGTTAGTCATGGCGTACATAACAAATGCTGAATTCTGTGATTTGATAAACATCTTTTTTGTTGACATTCATTTTATAACGAGTCGGTCAACAGCAAGGGAACAAGATAAACTGTTCAAATTGTAAATAAAAGGGAAAGAGATCCTTGCAACATGAACAGTGATGTAGTTAATGTGTGACTCACTCCATGAAGGGTGAGCGGTCATTGACCCCCATCTTGGCCAGAGGATGATCAAGGTTCGGGTTGTTCCTCATTGTCCAGACGATCTCCTGCGTCCACGTCGTGCCAGCCTTGGGCCACGTCATCACCACCACGTCACTCGTACGGAACTTTTAAAATTTACAATTAATTGTCGCTGTTTAGGAATTAAATCCCGAAGGCCAGTGAATCATCAAAACACGAAGTAGCATCACAGTGTAATAACAGATAACATCACGAACAATCTCTAAAGTAAACAATGTCCCCTAAGTTGTAGCAACCTTCCTCTTACCCACAAGGCCACAGAGAATGCCATCCCTTTCCCTCCTTCAGGGCACACAGGAGCCCAATGTCCATTTTAATACAAATAGAGATAAAGTTTGTGGCCTACCTCACTGAAGATGACAAGGCTATTATAATTTATTCAACCTCCCCTAGTGCCACAGAGGTCTAGGACTCTAGGCTTCCTCATTCCCCCTCGACCTCAGGGACGTTATGTTCTTCCGGCTCTGTCACTGCCACAGAAACACACATCTGATTATCTTGTACTGTTGGACTATCTTACCTTAAACTTGTACAAGTTGTCAGCAAACTTTGTGTAGTCGACCGGAAAGAGCCACCTGCCGGGGTTGAGACGAACCAAACCTTTATCGTAACCTTTAAAGTCACGCTGCTGCCGCTCCAGCTCCTCCCCCTGAAGTTTCTCCATCGTGTGACCACTCATCAGAGCCATCATGTACCTGTAAAAGAAATATTGATACTGTAATGGGAAAACTTTGACGTAAAGTTTATTTTCAAAATCGTTAGCTTTTGTAAAGAAAGTTTATATTGTAATTCATTGGCTCTTGATTAGGTAACATGCATATCAAAATTCACGATCCCATTTAGGAGTAAAATTCAGAAATTTATTTTCACTATACAGCCGCCGTACTGCACCCTTGAGCTGCGACCATAAGATATAAAGGAATCCTCAAACAGGTTCTAAATACCGTCCACACCTAAACACCCAAACATACCAGCTCCAAAATAATACGAATTATTCAATCTCGGTAACGAGTAAAAGATGTGGTAAGAGAATAAAAATATTTAGTTCTTATGAGTAACAGAATCATTATTGAACACTGTATACATTATGCATATAAGATATATTTTGGTAATAAAGTTTGAGAAAACCCAGATAGATCACGCCATAATATAGCCCCAGTTAATACTTCTGTATAAAGCAATACGAGAAACCCCAAGTAAACTTTTGTTCCACCCTTGAACATATTGTGCACGAAAGGCTTCAGTGATCGATCACGTCCTGTAATGATCAAAGGTTTCCCCAAACATACTGTTTGTGAAATTACTTTCACTTTCACAACGAAAGCTTATAGGGGCAAGTTGCTACTCTTCAGTTCACCCCAAACCCACACACATATACATCTATGTTCTAACTGGTTGACATGTTATACCAGTTTCAAGTTTTTACCAGCTATCACTGTTGCTCACTCAAGTGTTTAGTTAGTGTTAACCCACCCCACCAAAAAAAAAATCAAAAAGGAAAAAAAACTTTGACATCAAAATGAAATCCCCGAGGTGTATGGCCAGTCCACTGTAAGCTTCAACAGCTGCAATAGTGTAATACGAGTATTTTCTCTGCTGTTTGTTAGGGTTTAATTTCTAAACTTCGTCTATTTCTCTGATATTGTAGAAATTTTATTTTATGGTTTTCAATATCTTAAGAAATAGTACCATTAGCCTCACCTTTTGATATTATTTGTTGATAAATTTCCTGCCAAGATGATACAGATTCCCTCGTTGGTCGGGTATTCCTCAGAGAAGTGACGTAAACCTCGTGAAACTTGGCTTCTATATTTGCTTGTCAAACAACATTCCCAGAACCAACTCGATAACCGCCCGCTACCGGACCCTGACGAAGACTAAGTGAGTAGAGGCTCCACGGCATCCCGACTGGTGGTGGGACAGAGATGTGGTTTGCATATGATATTACCGCTGAAGGTCAACCTCGTTACTTGGGTGAGGTGAAGCTGAGCTGTGTTTACAGGAGAGACATTAGTATGTAGGTTCACGAATGGGGAACAAAAATCCGGTATTGACATAAGGTGATAGAATGTAGGACAGGGGAAGGAATACGTTCCTCTTAAGTGTGTCGAGGAGTACACGCAGTTGACAAGCCAGTCGCCACACACAACCAATACAATGTTTCGCAAAGCTTAGTTCAGATGGAATTATGATCTATTGAAGTTCCAGTAAATATGAAAACGTTAAAAAACAAAATCGTTGATAACATTTCAAAATACTCGTACTGAACGCCACATAGATCTGCGGCTTAACTAATTCAACACAGAATCATGTTTCGAAGAGTCATTAATATGTTCAGGGAAATATTATGTAACGCATTCACTTTTCTTCGAAGAATATATTCAGGATGTTAATTCCGTTACAGTGATCCATAACCTCCTAAATCCTTTCTTGACCCTAAAGTCTTTTTACCTGAGCTTTGAACTCTTTATTGCCGAGGTTCGTACTTCAGTGGATAAATTATATACTTTTAGTACACAAACTAATCGCAACTAACCTCGTTAAACATGATGTAAACTAAACTGGTAAATTGTAATATGTAAACATCTTTTGTTCAATCTTTGTATGAAAAATAAGACAAATATTAAACTCAAGCATGTATAATCGTTTTAATGAGATTTTAGGCAAAACTTTCGACGTGTAAACTAGTCACTTCAAACAAGGCACTCGAGATAACTATACAGGTGTGGTCCGGATTTTCCCCAAATTTGCATAGATGAAAAAATTATTAACCAGGTAAATTTTTCATATTTTTTAGATTTTTTTAGCTAATTATTTAGTTCTAAGCTATTTTTTAATAATCTTTTAATATTTTTTAATATTTGTATTATTTAATTTATATATATTTTTAAGTAATATTCTTCCTACGTCATTTATTCCAAGGTCTGCATTCTTTTATAAGTAAATTTCTTCATTCAAAATAACCAGATTTTTCTCAGCTTTTCATGTCAAAGTTAAGAATATCCAGCAAAAATAAGAAACAATTTTTACAAAAACTTCGAAGACATTTCAATATCTTTATTGGTCAATCAAAGAACTAGTGTCCAGTAACTGGTACAAAGGTAAGCATAGTAAATACATAATGTTAGATTAGTTCAATGATTCTGCTGTTCTATCGATACATGGCTCTCAAACCTCCTCCTGTACGGGTTAGACTTATCCGTGCGCTCACTGAAGAATTAAAAGGCTCCAGTGGACAGGGCTTTGGTTGAAGTCCCGTCCAGTAGACAAGATGGCGGCTCTTCGTGTAATTCACATGCGGAAGATCTGAAGGAATCACATCCAAACCTCTAGAGACAGGTTCAGTAGCTCCCTAGATGAAACTGCACAGTGCATTCCATTTCTTGCATTACTATGAACAGTCGTTTACAGATATTAACACTAGGAACGTTACTGGGACTTTTACTCTGCAAGGCTTCCAGTGCACTTTTATTATTAACAAAAATATGTTCTTTGCTGTTCAATAGTACAATCTTTTCTTCTCTAGCCAAAACTTTGACAAGTTTCTGCCCACCACTTGTCCCCGGCTTGATGCAAAGCTTAGGCAGACAGTGAAAATCAGCAGAATTGTCGCAGAGTCCAAGGATGACACGTCCGACCAGTACGGCCAGCGTTCAGAGTAAGTAGTGTAGTTGAGACGAAGGATGACAGCTCGATTCCCATGTCTTCAAGTACTTCCAGCTTAGTTTCTAACATGCTGAATAGGGGCGACATATTACTTATTGTGAATCACCTGGAGGAAAATATAATTTTGAGTCGTTTCATCTGAGAAAAATTTATGTACGTGATTTCTTACCTGGGCATATACCTTTTACTGATACTCGATTTCTGATTCAACTCTTTGCTCACGAAGTATCAGTGACTCATACGAACATAACAATGGAGGAAACTGTAGCGGGCCTATTGGCCCATACTGGGCAGTCCCATTTACACCCAACCCCTATTGCTCATATAAGCATCCAACCTATGTTTGAAGCTATCCAGCGTATTCGAGTTAATGATGATATTTAGTAACTTGTTCCATTCATCCACTACTCTGTTTCCAAACCAAATTTGTCTAATTTTATACCATTGTTATGAGTTCGCTCCTGGTTGGATAGTTTGAGTACCCTTATAATGTCCCTTTGTTTAGCCCTGACTTCCATTTATACACCTCTATCATGTCGCCCCTCGCTTTACGTCTCTCGGGGGAGTGCAAATTAAGATGCCTTAACCTGTCTCTATACTCAAGGTTCCTAATGCCCGGGATTAGTCTTGTCATTCTCCTCTGAATTCTTTCCAAGGATTCTATATCCATTCTGAAATACGGTGACCAGAACTGAACTGAGTAATCCAGGTGAGGTCTCACAAGCTCAAGATATACTCGTAAGATGACCTTGCTAGTCAATTCAATTTCAATTTCAATTGTTTATTCCTTGATAGAGGAAGCGGGATCCTAGTGCTGTCACTAGGTACCCCTGTACAATGACACCAGAAGCATCTGGCAAGTGTGACAAGTATATACAGTATGAATATTATAAAGGGGCTTACTAAAGCCTAAGGAAGGCAGGAAGGATATTCCTTTAACACATAATCAATATTATTTACAAAATATCTGGCCAGTATGGAAGGATCATCGTGTCTCCGTCAGGGGGTCGTGGAGTGGGGCTCCAGCAGGCGTCACGGAAGCGTTGTGTGTGGGGACATCTTAGGAGGTAGTGGATAAGGGTGCTGCTGTCGGGTCTTCTGCATAATGCACACCTTGCTAGTCTTATATCTAACACTCCTTTGTATGAACCCAAGTACTTTATTAGCCTTGTTACGAGCAAAAGCACATTGTTTACTTGGGTTAAGGTTCCTACTTATCAATACTCTTAAATATCTCTCGCAGTCGGATTTCTCAATGGCATCGTTGTTCATCTGGTAACTGGTTTCCCTGTTTACATATCCTATACTGAGTACTTTACATTTGTCCACGTTGAATTTCATCTGCCATTTTTCAGATCCATTCGAAAAATTTGTTTAGATCTTCCTGTAATTTTGTGGAGTCCTCGTCAGATTTAATTACACGTCCTATTTTAGTCTCATCAGCAAATTTACTTATGTTGCTGTCTATGCCGATATCTATGTCGTTTATGTATATAATAAATAATAATGGTCCAAGTACTGAGCCTTGGGGAACTCCACTAGTGATGTTGCTCCAATGGGATTTAGTGCCGTTAATGCTCACTCGCTGTTTCCTGTCCTGTAACCACTCCCCAATCCATTTAAGGATATTACCTTTGATGCCATGTGCTTCTACCTTTCTAATTAGTCTTTCGTGGGGGACTCTGTCGAAGGCTTTGCTAAAGTCGAGATATACCACATCATAATTGTGCCCCTCGTCCACCGATTCGAAAACTGATGAAAAGAATGTTAATAGATTAGTTTGACAAGAACGTCCGCTTGTGAAGCCATGCTGGGAATCATTGATCAATTGGTGCTTCTTCAGGTGATTTCGAATAGAGTTTGATATGATTGCTTCCAGTAATTTGCCTATTATTGATGTTAGACTGATTGGACGGTAGTTTGATGATAGTGATCTATCCCCCTTCTTGAAAATCAGTATTACATTTGCTATTGCCGGGTTCAGGATGTTTGGTTCACACTCAGGATGGGGCGGAGAAAGGAAACTCACAATATGCTCTCTATATACACGTTGTATTAGATGTACAATTCAGCTTGGTGGTGGGAAGGCAGCATGGTTACAAGCGTGATGTAGAGAGAGCTGGTTGGTGAGGATGCTCGGAGAAGGACAGCTTGTGGGTCGCCATTCACCGGCGGGAGCGAGGACCGCCAGGCAGGCGGAGGAGGATGAGGTGTTGCTGGCTGTTTGGTGTAGGTAGAAAAAGGCAGGTCACCATCAGGTCTTAAATAGCAGGGGTAGGCGTGGCTTAGTAGTTGACCCCCGCTCCGTGATATATGGCGGCGCTGGTTGACGTACACCACGAGGCATACACTGGGGAATTGGTGGGGTCGGCTACTCGGCGACGAACAGCGTTTGTAGGGGAGAAATCCACTACAATACTCCCCCTTACCTCCAGGCGGTGTAGGAGACTTGTTGTCTGCAGAGTTGCTTAGCACATGTGAGGCAGAACGGGCGGTGCATGCCTCATGTGAGACAACGGCGATGGCGTGGATGAGCCTGTCGCTGGATACAACTGTCTAGATACACACTATCTGTGGGAGAAGAGAGGGACAAAAAGGGTGTGTGGAGGCGATGAATGTTGTGCTTCCCTCATGGCAGGTACAAAGTCGTCAGATGCGCCTGCTGGGGTTTGTGGGCCTGGGTCAGGAGCAGGGGCTGCGTCAGCAGAAGCGGATGAGGGCTCGTGACAGCAGCTGGGTCCACGACAGCAGCAGGGTGCAGGACAATAGCAGGGAGTACCTGAAGGAGAAAAGAGGGGTGTGTGGGTCCGCACTCAGGAACAGAGGCCGCGTCAGGGGCGGCAGGGGTTACTGCTGGGCCGGGGTCGGCGTCTGAGGCAGGACGGGTGTGCTGGGGTCGGTAGTACGTGGTGCTTGGGGCAGGAAGAGGAGCTGGTGTCTGCTTAGAGTAGCAGAGCTGCTGTAGGGTGTCTAACCTGAGGTGTAGAGACAGTAGTTGTAGAGCCGATGAGAGCTGCTTCTGTGTGGATAAGCCAGTCTTCCATGTTGCTTGAAGACTGGGAGCATGATCAGTTTCTCCTCCATCCTGTGTGAGTGCGAATCTCCGGGGGGTCACCATTTGTGGGGTTCAAAATGTTTGGTTCACACTCAGGATGGGGTGGAGAAAGGAAACTCAAAATGTGCTCTCTATATACATGTTGTATTGGATGTACAATGCAGCT